CAGGGGCAGGAGCAATAGCACAGCGGGTAGGGCGTTTGCCTTGCACGCGGCTGACCCGGGTTCGATTCCCAGCATCCCGTATGGTCCCCTGAGCACCGCCAGGAGTGATTCCTGAGTGCAAAGGCAGGAGTAACGCCTGAGCATTGCCGGGTGTGACCCAAAAAGCAAAAATAAATAAATAAATAAAGTGGGATTCAAAGGGCTGCAGAGATAGTAATAGAGAGGGTAGGGCTCTTACCTTGCACATGGCTAACCTGGGTTCAACTCTTGCATCTCCTATGGTCCCTGAACACCACTGGGAGTAATTCTTAAGTGTAGAGCCAGGAGTGACCCCTGAGCATCTCTGGGTGTGGCCCCCAAACCAGAAATAAGTAAGTAAACAAAAATACAGTGGGATTCAGGGGCCAGGGAGGTAGCTCAAAAATTTGCTGGAGCAGGAACATGTGGGAGGCTGGGTGAGAACCCTGGCATAGCAGGTCTATGAGCACCTTGGACACTGCATTGGAAGTGTCCTAGTTCCTCAGCACCAATGGGCATGGCCCAAAGACAAAAAGCGAAAAAAAAAACGATATATAAAGCAAGTTTCCAGGCAAAAGGTAGCTCAGAGGTAGAGCATTTCCCTCCTGTGTAAGGCCCTGGATTTGACCCCCATCATGGCAGAAACAAAAATTATAAAGTAGCGTTCCTACTTTAGGAAGGAAAGGAAGGAGAGACACAGCGACCCTTCACAAAGGCCGGCCACCCTACTTCCACCCACACTCCTGCCTTGAGACTGAGCCCTGAATCCTGCCTAGGGCTCTGGGACAGTCCCCGTCCTCCCACCTGTCCCTCCCTGGCCACGCCTCATCGCCCGCCCACCACCAGCCCGTGACCCCGCCCCATATAGCCCCGCCAGCCCCCCGCCGCGGCCCCGTCCCGGATCGCCCAGCCCACCTCCCGTGGGAACCCGGCGCCCTCCCCAGCGGCGTTTGTGCGTCTCAGAGGCGCTCAGGCTCTCCTTAACCTCCCTTCTGGGCAGAGGTCAGGCTCCTGCCTCCATCCCCGCTGTCTCTCCTGTTTGTAGGACCTGGTGTTGTGCTCACGGCCGTCATTCTTAGAGCAGGCCTAATAGAGTCCGTATGGGAGGGTCCTCCGGGTGGTTCTCTCAGGGCACCCGGCGTTCCACTGTCGGGCTCTACTTGTGCCCTGCCGCCTCGGGATGACCCCTACTTCTATGCAAGTCAGAGCCTGCAGCAGGGAGGCCCCCCTCCCGGGTCCCTCAGGCATGGGCCTAGGGAGATGGCAGCACCCCCTCAAGACAGGCACTACTCAAAGGAAGGACTCCTGCTGGTACAAGCACTGGGCCTGTGCGGAACAGCCTCCTCGCGGGAGTGGGCACAGACAGGACCCAGAAATACCGGGGAGCATGGGGAGCTGGCCTGCACTGATTTTCATTAGTGGAATCTGGTGCATTGGGCTGATGAGTCCATTATTTCTTGGCGGTGGCCTTGGAACAAGCAGCCAGCACGTCCGGGGGCACAATTGCCTCATTCCTGAGTGAGAACATTGCCCGGGAGAAGTCCTGGGCATTGCACTTCACAGGTGCCAGTGGAAGTTACACTGCATGATGAGCTAGGTCACTAGTGAGTGATGAGCAGGACACAGTCATGAGCATCCTCTGAAGTCTTGAGACCTCCATCCCATAGAACAAATGTTCTTTCATTTATTTTTCTTCCAAACTTCAGTGGAGTTTACTCCTGGCTCTGCACTCAGGAATCACTCCTGGTGGGGCTCAGGGGACCATATTAGGTGCTGTGGATTGAACCCAAGTTGGCTGTGTGTAAGGCAAGCACCCTTCCCATTGTACTATTCTTCTGGCCCACAGCTACAATTTTTTGGTTTGGGCCACACCTGGCAGTGCTCAGGGTCACTCCTGGTGTTGCTTGGAGGACTTTATGGGGTGCTGGAGAACAAGCTGGAGTAGGATGCATATAAGGTAAGCACCCTACCTCCTTTAATATCTCTCCGTCCACTAAGACTACAATTTAACTATAGGTATATTGTCACGGTCCTCCCATTGTTCATCGGTTTGCTGAGTGGGCCCAGTAATGTCTCCATCGTGAGACTTGTTGTTACTGTGTTTGGCATATCGAATACGTTACAGGTAGCTTGCCAGGCTCTGCCGTGCAGGCGAGATACGCTTGGTAGCTTGCCGGGCTCTCCGAGAGGGGTGGAGGAATCGAACTTGGGTTGGCCATGTTGACTGCGTGCAAGGCAAATGCCCTACCGCTGTGCTATTGCTCCAGCCCTAGGTATAATGTCACTAGGTAGAATCTAGCACTGTCCTCCCATTGTTCATCGATTTGCTCAAGTGGGCACCAGTAATGTCTTACAGCAAATTGTGAGACTTGTTACTATTTTTGGCATATCAAATATGTCACAGGGAGCTTGCCAGGTTTTGCCATAGGGGTGAGATACTCTCGGTAGCTTGCTGGGCTCTCCAAGAGGGGAGGAGGAATTGAACTTGGGTCAGTCGCATGCAAGGTAAACGCCCTACCTGCTGTGCTATCACTCCAGCCCATAATGTCACTAGACAGAAATTAGGGGACCAATGTACCATATGGGGTTCATCATTGACTGAAATGTCATGTTATGCATTTTGCATCTTATCATCACAAAAGTGACAAGCCCTAACCTTTTCCATATTCTTTTTGTTTTGTTTTGGGGCCATACTCAGTAGTGCTCAGTCTCCCTCCTGGCTCTGCACACACACTCCTGGCAGAACTCTGACCATATGTGATCCTGAGGTTGAGCCCAGTTTGACTGCATGCAAGGCAAAGGCCTACCCATTGTACAATCACTCTGACCTTATCTTTGCCATATTGTGTCCATGAGAAGCAAGTTACAGGCCCAGTATGCTCTCAAGAGAAGGGATAAGGCAGCATGGTTCATTTGAGTCATTTTAGAGTGTTTTCACTGGTCTCAGGGAGTCATAATTTATCGCTCTACTGTAAACACATTTTCACATACCTTTTAGTGCAGATATGAAGGAATTTCTGTTAGCTAAGAAGGGAATGCATGGGAAGGGAATTTCTGGTTCATGGAATATAGAATGTTTACTTTTTAAGACCAGAGATAAGACACAATGGTACAGTGCCTGTCTTATATTTGACTTGGATTTACTCCCAGAACTAGGTTTATTACACACATACACAAACACACACAATTTAGAATATTTAGCTTAAATAAATATTTTCCAATAAATAGCCCACTTATGTACCTAAAGCAGCACACATGTATTTGGTTTTAACATACTTGCTTGTATTCTCTTATATACGAGCTTAATCTTCGTCCCTCTCGGAGAGCTCGGCAAGCTACCGAGAGTATCCCGCCTGCATGGCAGAGCCTGGCAAGGCTCTGTGGCGTATTCGATATGCCAAACCAGTAACAATAATGGGACTCATTTCCTGACCCTGAAAGAGCCTCCAATACGGCAGCACTGGGGAGGACAAGTAAGGAGAGGCTGCTAAAATCTCAGGACTGGGATCAGTGGAGATGTTACTGGTACCCACTCGAGCAAATCGATGAACAGGACGACAGTGATACAGTGAAATATTTTCCAAAAAATTTCTAAGATGGTCATATGAGATATCTACACACACACACACACACACACACACACACACACACACACATATGAGAATTTCAGGTCCTCCTCATCCTTACTCTTTTAAAATAAAGCTGTTCGTTTTAGCTGTCCTTTATTTTAGTCTTTCTAATTTTGGGTGTAATATTACCCAATTATAGTTTTCATTTTCCTTAACCTGTTGATCAGCAAATGTTTCTTGCTACATCATCAGCTTTTTAATGCCCTTTTTGAACGTAGTTTAATTATTTAAATCAGAGTTTCTAGTTGTTTTTAGTAGGAAGGGTGGCTTAAACAATGTGCAACTAGAATTACCTATCTGTTTTTAGTCCTTAAATCTTTAATATTCTGAGCTTCAACCAATCCATGATTCACTCACTCATTGCCAATGCATTCTTATTGGATGCACATGGCTGCTGTGGGCATAAGCCCTACATAGGAGATAATGGTCAATATGATGGTCAGTTTTACACGTTCTCTTGATAGAATCAGCAAGCCCTAAAACGTTGCCAGTTCCTGTGACGGTGCTTTCCGGGGCAGGAGACGAACATGCAGAGTGGCGTCTCTGCTGGGAGGCAACATGACTTCTGGAGGGCTAGGAATCTGGAGGGAACTAGACCTGGCTTTCCAAAAGCCCCGTCATTTCATCAAACCTCTCTTGGTGCACATCCTGTGCTTCCATTTCCTGGGGAACCTTGACGAGTTCTGGAGCCAAACGGCCTGGATTCTGCACCTGAACCACCAAAGTCCAGTGGGGAGACAGGTGGCAATGCAGGGAGGAGGGCAAGGTAAGCCTCGCAAGGCTGTGAAAGACTAGGCAGGGTGCGACAGACCATAAGATGAACATCAAAGACCTGAAACTAGCACATAAGGGTGGACAGCAAAGGGCTGGGAGGGCTGTGCCCGAGAAGGACGGGGTGGGCAAGAGCGAGGGTCAGGGTGAGGCTAGGCCAGGCTCGGGCTAGAGAGTCAGGCAGTGAAAGCAAGTGCAAGAACAAAGACAGGGCGAGGGTCCCACCAGGGCAGCGGAAGCAGGACCAGGACGAGCCCAGAGCTGAAAAGCCGCTAGCAGCGCGGTAGGCTGTGTGAGCTGCCGGGCGCCCAACCACGGTTCTTCCCTGCGGCCCAGTCCCGCCCCCAGCCTGTCCTTCGCGTGCACCAGTCACCAGCCTCGCCCCCATGACGCATCAGCCCCTCACCCAATCCCGGCGCGTTTCTGCAGCCAGTCCCGTCCCCAGCCAATCCCCGTGCACCAGTCGCTAGCCTTGCCCCGCCCATGCCGCGCTCCGCTCCTCAGCCAATTCACGAGCGTCTTCGAGGCTTTTCCCCGCCTCCTTCGGCCCCTCACCCAATCTGTGCTCGACTCCTGTTTGCTCACCTCGGCGGTCGGTGTCTCCCGCGCAGCGAACATGGAGGCATTGCTGAAGCGGGAGTTGGGCTGCAGCTCCGTGAAGGCCACGGGTCATTCTGGGGGCGGGTGCATTAGCCAGGGCCAGAGTTACGACACGGACAAAGGACGAGTGTTTGTGAAAGTGAACCCGAAGGCCGAGGTCAGGGCCGCCGCGGCCTGGGGGCGGGCGGGAAGAGCTCAAGGCTGGGATCCGGGTTCGAAGTCTGGGATCAGGGTCAGAAGTCAGGGTCGTCTCCCGGGCCGGGAGTGTGAGGGATTCGGGGTCCGAGTGTGAGGTGTCCGGAGTCGGGGTCTGGCGTGTTCAGGGTACGAGGAAGCCGGGGTCGGAGTCTGAGGTGGCCGGGGGTGGGGTCCTGACTGGGGTCGGGGTCAGAGGTGGCCGGGGGTGGGGTCCTGTCTGGAGTCGGAGTCAGAGGTGGCCGGGGGTGGGATCCTGTCTGGGGTTGGGGTCTGAGGTGGCCGGGGTGGGGTCCTGACTGGGGTTGGGGTCTGAGATGGTCCAGGCCTGGGTCCTGTTTGGGATCGGAGTCTGAGATGTCTGGGACCAAGGCTCTGTGTGAGGTTGGGATCTGAGGAATTCAAGGTCCAATTCTGTCCTGGGTTGAGGCCTAAAGTGTTTGGTTCTGGGGTGTTTGGCGGCCTGTTTGATGTCTGAGCCCCCCCCCCAATCTTGGGTCTGATGCATCACAGCATTTGTCGCTTCAAGCCTGGCAGTACCCCGATTGCAGTGAGGGTGGCATTGGCTGGAAAGTGACAGGGTACACAGTAAGGTCTGAGACTCAGGTGCAGATGGATGCCCTGGTGTCTGTAGGGTGATATGGGGTCCTGGCGCATTACTGCATGTCATCTCTCCCCACCTGGGCACCGGCACCTCCCTGCAGTTCACTCGTGCTGGGCTCCTATGTAGGGCTGAGCCCATCACAAATGCCTCCCCCGATGTCCCTGAACCCCATGTTCCTGTCCTGATGCCTGTTCCTGATCCCTGTCCCCTGTACCCCATTCATGACCCCTGCCCCGACCCTGTCTGTTCCCTGATTCCACCTTGGTCCCCCACCTCCACCCTTGACCCTTCTCTGCCTCCTGAACTCTCCTTCCATCCCTCCTTTCTGTCTGGCATCCACTATCCTTGACTCCCCTCTGACCCCATCCCCCATTCCTGAGTCCCTTCAGACCTCCTGATTGTGACCCCTTCTATTCCAGCACTCACTGTTCCCAGCCTCCACCCAGACTCGAAGGTGTCTGGCTCCCTTCTTTATCCCTGGCCCCTCCTATCCCTGACCCCACTCTGTTCCCTAGCCCACCCAGGGCCCCAGCAGCACGGGACAGAATTGGACCTGGCTTTGTCCCAGATCGTGTGGGAGTCTCAGCCTCCATCTCAGGTGGCCTGGACTGATACCTCTGGGATCGCTGGCATCCACGGGTGTGGCCAGGCTCTTGGGCACCGCACACCCATTAACTTCTCTCTGCCTTAGTTTTGGTTCTTGCGTTGTCTTGTCCAGTGGTACCCTGGATATGCCCTCTTGCTATTGGCACTTCTACAGGGGCTGCTCAGCTTTTCCTCTATCGTGTGATATCCACTCTCTTCTGTATGTATTTCACCTTCACAGGCACTTGTAATAATCAGAGAATAGCACAGCGGTAGGGCGTTTGCCTTGCGCACAACCAGCCTGGCCGAGCCGGGTTCGATTCCTCTGCCCCTCTCGGGGAGCCGGGCAAGCTACCGGGAGTATCTTGCCCGCACGGCAGAGCCTGGTAAGCTACCCGTGACGTATTCGATATGCCAAACACAGTAACAACAAGTCTCAAAATGGAGACGTTACTGGGCTTGCTCGAGCAAATCGATGAACAACGGGAGGACAGTGCTACAGTACAATTACCAGAAGTGGTGTGGATTATAAGGGGAGCAAATATTTAACATTGATTAAAATGAAGCCACTTTGTGATGTGTTGCTGGTAGAACACTCTTGTGCTCTTTCTTTTGGATCTTTTTTTTTTCTTTTTCTTTTTTGGGTCACACCCGGCGATGCACAGGGGTTACTCCTGGCTCTGCACTCAGGAATTGCCCCTGGCAGTGCTCAGGGGACCATATGGGATGCTGGGAATCAGACCTGGGTCAGCTGTGTGCAAGGCAAACGCCCTACCTGCTGTGCTATTGCTCCAGCCCCTCTTTTGGATCTTTTTGATTGTTTGCTTTTGGCCACATCTAGCGATGTTCAGGGGTAACTCCAATCCCTGCACTCAGAAATTACTCCTGTCTGTGCTCAGGGAACCATATGGAATGTTGGGGATTGAATTTGGTCAGCCGTGTGCAAGGCAAGCACCCTACCAGCTGTCCAGTCTCTGCATTCTTAATTTTTTTGTGGTTTGGGGGGTGCACCAAGAGTGCTCATACCATCTCTCCAGCCTCTGAGTTTTTATTCCTTAAATTTTTTTTTTGTTTTTTGTTATGGAGTCATACCTAGCAGCACTTACTCCTGGCTTTGTGCTCAGGGATCATTCCTAGTGGGGCTTAGGGGATCATATATGGTGCTGGAGATCAAGCCTGGGTTAGCTATCTGCAAGAACCCTGCATGCTGTATTATCTCTCCAGCAACCCCCCCCCCCCCTTTTTTAAATCGCTGCCCAAGATAGAACCCAGAATGATATAAATGTGAAACTGACATTCTTCCTCTGAGCTACATCTCTATCTTTGGGTTCTTCTTGTTTTTCAACCAAAATTCTTTTTTGGGAGGAGCGTTCGATATCCAGCATTTCCTTGGGGCCACCTCTAACAGTGCTCAAGGAATTGTGATACCAGGGAGCAAATCAAGGCTTCCTTCATACAAAGCACGTGCTTAACTTCGTGTTTGTTTTTTGGGCCACAGCTGGTGGTGCTTAGAGCTTACTGTTGTCTCTGTGCTCAGGGATCACTGCTGGTCTGCTGGGGTTGCTGGGGAATGAGCCGGGATTTGTTGCTTGCAAGCAAAAGCCTTAACCCCTGTACTCTCTCTGTCTCCTGTGCTTCACCGTTTGAGTCAGGTCCCCACCCTACATTTTCTTTTTGGTATTCTTTTTTTTTTTTAAATGAAAATTTTGGGTCACACCTGGTGATGCTGAGGGGCCACTCCTAGTTCTGCACTCAAGAATTACTTCTCTTGGTGCTTGGGGGACCATATGGGGCACCAGGGATCAATCCTGGGTTGGGCAGGGGCAAGGCAAGTTCCCTACCTGCTGTACTATTGTTCCAACCCTCTTTTTGGAATATTAATCACATATGTAGCTTCTAGTTCTTTGATAGTTCCAAACATGTTATGTTCTAGCTTGCTTTGGTACCAAGTGGGTGAGTTATGTCATTGTACTGGCCATAGCATAAACATTTGCTGATTATATGGAATATAGAGTTCTTTATACTTTACCTTTTAGGAGATTGAGTCTTCCAGATTCCTAAGACTATTGAGCTTTCAGTCCGAACAGTCTTTGTTTGTGATTATGTTGCTCAAGAAACTGAATCTGGGGCCAAAGAGATAGTACAAAGGTTCAGGCTCTTGCCTAACATGAGCTTGCAACCATAATCCTCCTGGTTTCATTCCTGGCATCACATATACTCCTCTGAACATTGTCAGGTGTGGTCTCTGAGTACTGCTGGGTGTAGCCCCCTCTGACTGCACCCCCAAACAAAACAAAAAGCAAACCCCTGAATCTATGACTAACCTTTTTTTTTCTTTTTGGGTCACACCCAGCAATGCTCAGGGGTTACTCCTGGCTCTGTACTCAGGAATTGCCCCTGGCAGTGCTCAAGGGACTATATGGGATGCTGGGAATCAAACTCGGGTCGACCATGTGCAAGACAAACACCCTACCTGCTGTACTATTGCCCCTGCCCCCTCTATGAAGAACCTTTATAGAAGTAATTCTACTCTTCTTCCTCTTCATTATGTTTCTGACAGGCTAAAAGAATGTTTGAAGGTGAGATGGCAAGTTTAACTGCCATCCTGAAAACAGGCACAGTGAAAGTGCCCAAGCCCATCAAGGTTCTAGATGCTCCTGGAGGAGGCAGCATGCTGGTGATGGAGCATGTGGACATGAGATATCTGAGCAGGTATGCCTTGGCACCTTCTTCTCTACTTTATTTTTCTTCTGAGTGGTTCCTTTGTACTGTAAACTTGTATTTTGGGTGTATTTTGAGGCATGTGATATAAAGGTTATGTGATACCGTATGTCAGGTACTCTGCAAACTAAAGATACACAGCAAAGACAGTCTTTCTTAGGGGGCTGGAAAGATAGTGCAGTGGGTGGGGCACTTACCTTGCATGTGGCCAACCCGGATTCAATCTCTGTTATCCCATATGGCCTCCTGAGCCCTGCCAGGAATGATTCCTGAGCTCAGAGCTAGGAGTAAGCCCTGAGGACAACTGGATGTGGCACAAAAACCAAAAAGAGAAAGAGGAAAAAAGGAAATCTCCTAAGGTGAGATGTTGATGGGATCAGGAATGTAAACTCAAGTGAGACTGTGAAAGACATTTAGATCCTTAGTGCCCTTCACTCCCTCCCCTTGCTTCATCAGAACAGACTATTTCCTTGTGTTGACCTACTGTATGTGATCTAAGACCTTTCAGCCAGATGTATTCCCACACTTGTATGCCAGGTATTTAAGCTCCTTTTGCTTCCACAGTCATGCTGCGAAGCTTGGAAGCCAGTTGGCAGATATGCATCTAGAGAACAAGAAACTTGGAGACACACTCCATAAGGAGGCCAGCACAGTAGGTATGGGACTGTGGATTGGAGGGACCCTGCTGAGAGGACATTAAGCAGCAGAGGAGTGGAGTGGTGGAGTGGCCTTGTGATGCTGTTGCTGAGGGCTAGAACTGTGTTGATGTCAAGGAAAGAAACACCAACCCCAAAGCTGTATATTTGGGTTAGTGAACACTGCTAATGTGACCAGTGTTGTGTGTTACAAATTCACTTGAAAGAAAGGAACTAGTTTCTGAACTCAATACCCCATTAATCCGTTTTCTTTTGCCTCTCACTACCCCTGAAACAAAAGCTACTAAGGGCCCAAGGAATAGTTCAAAGGGCTGGTGCTCATGCTTTGCATGCAGGAAGCTTAAATTTGATCCCTGACCTTTCCAGAGCTTAGTATGTATTAGCATTGATGTGGCCTGAGGCCTTTCAGCCAGATGTATTCCTATAGTCATATGCCAGGTATTTAAGCTCCTTTTGCTTCCAAAGTCATGCTGCGAAGCTTGGAAACCAGTTGGCAGATCTTGCAGTATTTTTATCCTCTAATAACCAATTTGTAGCCTATATGGTAACTCGGTTGGGCAGATAATTGAGAGCCTCCTGCCTGATTGCCCATCCAGTGCAGTCACTGGATAGACAGAAGCCTCTAGACTCTGACCCTGTGGATTTGTCACAGGGCAGACAGATTCTGTGGACAACCTGTCCTGTGTTTTGTTCAGTCCTTCGTACCTTGCTTTGATAATGGGGTACTGCAAGGGATGAAAACTGTCAAAGCACTACAGCTTTTATTTTTGGGGAAGGGGGCAGGATACACCTGGTCGTGCTCAGGGCTCTGTGCTCAGGGATCACTTCTGATGGTGCTCAGAGACCAAATGTATGTGGTATGGTGATCAAACTGGGGTCGGCCACATGCAAGGCAAGTGCCTTAACCCTTCTACTATTGCTCCAACCCACTTCAGTCTGTTTTGACAAATGAAAATGCAAGTTGACTACTGAAAACCATTCTTTTTAAAATTCTGTCTACATCCCCTTCCCTTCATTGTTGATGTTATTGCCGAGCCCAGGGGTTGCCCATCTGGCTGTAGTGTTGCAGAGGTTTGCACTCAGCTATGGTGCTTGCTCACATGCTGGCCAGGACTGCGCTCTGAGGCGAGGCACAGTTAGGTTGTGCTGCTAACTGGGTTCACTGTGCTGCTCATGCACACATTTGCCAGGCCGGGGCACTCACATCTTTTTAGCTGTGGTGCTCACCAAGGGTTGCATCCACTGTAGTGGTGTTACACCCACCTTCTGGCACCTGGGGGTCACAGACAGCAGCTATTGGATCATTCTCAGCATATGGAACACTAGAGATCTGAGCTGGCCACAGTGCATTTGCAAGACGGCATTTTATGCACTGCAATTTCTCTGGGCCTTGGAAAACTGATCCCAGCACAGGTGGATTTTCCCTTCTCTTTTGGAGTCAGCATTGTTGGTCCTCTGTGTACCCTTGGGAGCCTCTCCTGAGAAGCAATGGGTATGACTGATTCTAAATTATCCAGAGCAGGTTCTGAGGCCTGCAGATTGATGGGGACAAGGATCCTGTTAGTCTGTGGATGAAGACACTAGTTGAGAAGGATCAGGTCATGCCTCCATAAAACAGCTCTGAACTGTGAGACCTGGGGAGCAGGGAACAAGTCATCTTTCTTGTCTCTTTCCAATTCAAGGAAAAGGTGGGCAGATAGACAGACCCTTTGTGAACCAGTTTGGGTTTGATGTTGTGACGTGCTGTGGATATCTCCCCCAGGTGAGTGACCTGTTCCTTCCACTTCTCTGTTGTCTGTTTAGATGTAGCTGAGGAAAGCTCATCTTCTCCCTTCTTTGAAAGTCTTTGCTCCCTTTTTCTTTACTAATCTTTTTGTGCCTGCCTTTGCTGTCAATGCAGGTCAATGACTGGCAGGAGGATTGGGTAGCATTCTATGCCCAGCAGCGTATTCAGCCCCAGATGGACATGGTGGAGAAGGGGTCTGGGGACAGGGAGGCCCTAGAACTCTGGGCTGCTCTACAGGTGAGTGCCTGAAAGTCCCCAGGGTATGCCTCAAGGTAGTTTCTAATTTGGCTGGGGTCTGATGAGCCAGTGGGGTGACTGTTAGTGTCCTCTCCACCCTACCTGAGCCTCTCCACCCTACCTATCCTTATTCTATGAGGTCTGAGGAGCTACACTTGGAATGTACCTGCATCCCTCCCATATGCCACATTTGTTGCTCACTTTGCTAAGGCTTTGTTTCCTCCGTGTAGTTAAAGATCCCTGATCTGTTCCGTGATCTGGACATTGTCCCAGCTCTGCTCCATGGCGACCTATGGGGAGGAAACGTGGCGGAAGATTCCTCTGGGCCCATCATCTTTGATCCGGCTTCTTTCTATGGCCACTCAGAGTATGAACTGGCAATAGCCGGCATGTTTGGGGGGTTTAGTAGCACTTTCTACTCTGCCTACCACAGCAGGATTCCCAAGTCCCCCGGATTTGAGAAGCGCCTTCAGTTGTATCAGCTCTTTCACTACTTGAACCACTGGAATCACTTTGGGTCAGGGTATCGAGGTTCCTCCCTCAACACTATGAGAAATCTTCTCAAATGAATGTGTGCTTCCTGTGGGAGGGAGACTCCTGGGTTCAGGAGTTCCTTTATGCAGCCGGGATACATCAAGTTGTACATTTTCTTAGACTTCATGGCGGATAAAAACAGTGGAGGGACTGAAGCCATAGTACAGTGGGCAGTTCCTCAGGAGGAAATCCTGAGCACCACTGGGTGTGACCTAAAACAAAACAACAAAAGCCACACTAGAGAGGCCAGAGAGATAGTACAGAATAAAGCACTTGCTTTACATGAATCCAGTCCCAGTCTGATCCCTGGCACCAGAAATGGTCTCCCAAGCACTACCCAGGGTCACTCCCGAGTACAGAGCTAGGAATAGCCAGGAATAGCTCCTGAACACCACTGGTCTGGTCCAAAGCCCACCCCCAGCCCTCACCCTCACCCTTCGGGGGTGGAAAAAAAAAAAAGACTAGAAATGTGATGTGAGTAGAGGGACCTATGAGAGTGGTGTGCATCAAATCTGCTGCCATCCTGAAGCAGACAGGGAACCACAAGGCTGCCAGACACTGACCAGGCAAAGACCCTTTCCTGCAAGCAACTGATATTTGAGATGATGCATCTTGAAGGGTAAGTCTTAGGCTAAGCAATAAATTAACTTAGCCCAAATGTCCAATTCCAAAATTGAGCACATTCCCTTTATTTTCTTAGTTACCTCTGCCTCAGCTTGAGTGAGCAGGCCTGGAAACTGGTTCTGTGGATGGCCAAACTGCTCCCTTGGGGTGTCCACTGTATACTGGGGCCACTGACTTGCTCCTGTGAGCACCTGTGTTCTCTGTCATTTTCTAAGCCTTGTCTAGTATTTCTTTTACTAGAAAATATTTAAGACAAATACTACTTCATTGTTTTTTTCTCCTTCAGTTTTGCATTAATGAGAAATATTCATAAATGACGTTAAGGCTAATAAACTTCATATGTGAATAAATTTTCTGTGATTTCAGTGATGTAGGAGACTTTCCCTCATTTAAATTGGAAGTCATTGTTTTTCTTACTTTGCCAAGACATCTCTGTGATATATTGCACAATAAAGAGGTACAACTCTTGTTTTCTAGATGAATAATTTTTTTATGACTCTTCAGGAAAAACACAGCATTTCAAAAGAAGGGCAGACAAGCATACCTCTGTAAGACCTGTCCTGTTTCAGTTTCAGCCTGTCAGTAACCAGTGTTGTGACTGGATTGATCTTGTGGCTTGATTACAAGAAGCAGGAAATATCAGGAAAATTGGAAACTGGAGGCCACAGGGCACAAGAACTTGAGTATACTCAGACTTGAATTCTGCTTTACTGGGATTAAGGGTAAAAGCTGAGGGTCTTGTGTACTCACTGTTTACTGTTATATTTAAAATATAAGTTCTGTGGAGACAGTACAAAGGGCGAGAGTGCACATTTTACATGCAGGACCCCAGGTTCAATCCTTGGGTCCACATGGTCCCCTGCACACTGCAGGGAGTGACTCCCAAGCCAACACAGCAGTAGCCCCCAGGCACCACCAGGTATGACCCCCATACCCCTGAAAATAAAATACGAGTTTGAGTTTAAAGTTTAGGAAGGGAGCGAAACAAAAAAGGACTGGGGGGTGGGGTGGGGACCTCAAACACAAGGGGCCTCTGATACCCTTTATCTGGATTAAGCAGGAGCTCTGAGTGGCATAGTTCTATGCCTGCATGGTGGACAGATATCAAACACTTTGCGGTACAGAAAGAAAACCCAACTGTCAGGCTCGCTTCAAATACCTTTCTAGTACTTGACTCCAGTGCTATGTGTTCTCAGTCACCCATCTGGCAAACAGTGAAAGGAGACTGAAAGTAACTGCTGATGAGGGTTCAAGGAAGAAGCGTGTCTTTGCTGCCAGTTCTGTGGTAGGACTTGGAGCATACCAGGGTTCCTGCTATGGGAGCAGATGATTCCTTTTCCCTTGTTTGCTTTTAGGTTTTGTGTTACTGGCCAGGGCCCCATGGCAGAATTCAGAAGCAAGTGGACACCTTTGGGATTCTGGTTCTTGTGGGAAGGGAGTGAGGTTGTCCTGTCAAATCTAGTCTTTCCTCAGTGTCCATTCCCAAGATTCCTGCTGATTCACTCCCACCCTACTCCCAGGGAAAGTGAAGCAGATGCTGATTTTATGCCTTACGATGGCATAAAATTGCTGCCTTACATTGCTGCTACCCTTGTAGCTTGACACAAACCTGCTTTCAGGTAGACTGATATTTGGGGATTGCAAGGCCAAGGACTTCCACCAAGACCATCATTCTGCACTGAAGCCTTTGGGGGCTACACCCCAGGGGTCCTCCTCTTTTTTTTTTTTTTTGTCTTTTGAGTCACACCTGCCAATGCTCAGGGGTAACACTTGGCTCTGCACTAAGGAATTACTCCTGCTGGTGCTCAGGGGACCATATGGGATTCTGGGGATAAAACCCAGGTCCGCTGTGTGCAAGGCAGACACCCTACCCGCTGTACTATTGCTTTGGCTCCGGGTGCTCCTCTTTTGTGGGTAATCATCAGAGCAGGAAAATCCATGAGCAAAGGCCAAATGAAGTGTGTGTTGAGAGTATTTGAAAGATGTCTTCATCTTAAGTCTTTATCATTTGTGTGTTGGGGGCAGTAGAGCAAGATATCTTTCTTGGTCTTGATTGTTGGCCCCCCTGGTTTGGAGAGGTTGAGTGGGTCCCGGTTGCTGACCACTGGAGGAGGCCAGATAGCTAATACAGGGGGTAAGATGCTTGCCTTGCATGCAGCTGACCCCAGTCCATACTGCTGAGAACTCCCCCTGACCCCAGAGCATGGAGTTAGGAGTCAAGAGTAACCCCTGAGCACCACTGGGTGTGCCCTCTCTCAAAAAATGTCAACTTCGTACTTATCTTTTATTTATAATTCTACATATTTATATGGACTAGAGTGATAGAACAGCAGGTAGGGCGTTTGCCTTGCATGTGGCTGACCTGGGTTCGATTCCTCCGCCCCTCTTGGAGAGCCTGGCAAGCTACCAAGAGTATCCCGCCCACATGGCAGAGCCTGGCAAGCTCCCTGTGGTGTATTCGATATGACAAAAACAGTAACAACAAGTCTCACAATGGAGACGTTACTGGTGCCCACTCAAGCAAATCGATGAACAACTGGAAGACAGTGCTACAGTGCTACATATTTATATAATTGATTTTGCCAAAAGCGTAGGAGCTTTAAACCCAGAGAGCCCTGACAAAGAAGCTGTGGGCAGAGGGGCTTCTGGACAGAACCTCTGCTGTTTCTGGACTCCCTGCTGCCTTTCTAAGCAGGCAGAAGTAGAGGGAGGGTCATGGTCACGGTCCTCCCGTTATTCATCGATTTGCTCGAGTGGGCCCAGTAACATCTCCATTGTGAGACTTGTTTTTACTGTGTTTGGCATATCTAATACGTCACGGGTAGCTTGCCAGGGTTTGCTGTGCGGGCGAGATACTCTCGGTAGCTTGCTGGGCTCTCCGAGAGGGGCGGAGGAATCAAACTCTGGTCGGCCATATTGGCTGCTTGCAAGGCAAACGCCTTAACTGCTGTGCTATTGCTCCAGCCCAGAGGGAGGGTAAGCGTTGGATTTGGAGATATGATTTTCAAGGGACACTTGTATGACTGATGTATCATGTCTTGGCCACAGCTGGCTTCTTATCCTTGCAGAGTGGTCTGCTGACACCTGAAATAAAAGGTAGATTGAGGAGCAACGAAGTCTTGACCGAGAAGACAAGTGCAAGGGTTGTGCTTTTGGAGCACCGAGAAAGTCTTGGCAGCATGAGGTCCCTGTGCTCAGGTGTCAGGGGCATGGATACTTCTTACTGATAATGGTAAATTGGTATAAGAATCCCTCATTACCCACTGCTTTCCACAGAAGTCCATTGTTAGACAACTGGACTTTAGTCCCAAACCTGCTGCTGCTTCTTTTTTTACAAAAAATTTTTATTAAAAACATTGTGATTTACAAAGCTGTTCAGTAGATAGTTATTTCAAGCATTTAGTGTTCCAACACCACCAATGTGACCTTCCCTCCACCAATATTCCCAGTTTCCCTTCAATCCCAATCTTTCCCCTTTGTCACATAACAAATTTATTTTATGTTGTTTATTCCAGTAAAATTTGTAAGAACTGGCAAATAGAATGATCAGAAAATAAAGTAGAAAGGGCCAATTGGTGATTACATATGATTTTGACCTATGTAAATAAGAAAATTAAAACCATCTGATACAATATAAAAATGCCTATTCTCATTTACATACATATATTTTCAACTCTGTAATCTAAAGTATATTACATTAAATTTTATTTATACTTGGATCCCATTATGGTAATAATCATGTCTCACTTTAGTCCCAAGGCTTCTTAGTTGCGTCCTTTTGAGAAAAGAATAGAAACAGGTTTTCCTGCCTGAAACAGAAGACACTGTGTGCCTGCGTACCTCCACGAGCAGTGTTCCCTGGACAGTCATCACATGGTACTCATACCTGCTTCCTCCCTGCACTTAAAAATGCTTCTTGTGGGGACTGGAGCGATAGCACAGTGGGTAGGGTGTTTTCCTTGCATGTGGCTGACCTGGGTTCGATTCCCAGCATCCCATATGGTCCACTGAGCACTGCCAGGAGTGATTCGTGAGTGCATGAGTCAGAAGTAACCCCTGTGCATTGTCGGGTGTCACCCAAAAAAAGCAAAACAAAAAAAACTTCTTGTGTATGGATGTGGAGAGCTTGGAGGACAGATAATACAGCAGGTAAAGCGCTTGCTTTTCACGTGGTTGACTCAGGTTTGGGCTGGAGCCATAGCACAGCGGGTAAGGCATTTGCCTTGTGCGCAGCCGGCCCAGCTGAGCTGGGTTCTATTCCTCCGCCCCTCTCGGAGAGACGGCAAGCTACCAAGAGTTTCTCGCCCGCACAGCAAAGCCTGGCAAGCTACCAGTGATGTATTCAATATGCCAAACACAGTAACAACAAGTCTCACTATGGAGATGTTACTGGACCCGCTTGAGCAAATCGAACAACCGGAGGACCGTGATCGTGACTGTGACTCAGGTTTGATTCTCGATACCCCATGTGGGCCCCCCAGGCAATGCCAGGAATGGATCCCTGAATATGGAGCCAGAAGTAAACCCTGAGCACTGCCAGGTGTGACCCAGAGCAAACAAAATGTTTACTGGGTCAGCAGATGCCTTAAAGGCTTTGCACACAGGAAGCCTGGATTTGGTCTCTAGCACTGCATGGTTCTTGTGCACTGCCCCCGCATGACCCCCAAACATGTGGAGGCTTTGGGTTCTCATCTGCCTTGACATTGTGAGTGTGCTGGAGAGGCAGGTGGGGCCCTACAGCATGTGCAATGTTCTCTGAGACTCAGAGGGAGCCCTTGCAGCCTGGGGACCCCCTCCCAGGCACAGTGGGAGTTGGGTGGTGAGGGAGGTAGAATTTGAGTTAAGTTGGATCCTCATTGGTCAGGCAGGCAGGGTCTGAGATTCCCTGAGTGTGAGGGTGCTGCTGAATCTGGCATGTCTCCCCAGGGCGTGCACTGCTACCTCCCATGTCTCCCCGATGAAACTGACCTCTAAAGCAGCTTGTATGAAGGCACGTGGCTGTGGACACTATGTGGAGAAAATCCTCCAGTGTCTCAGCAGAGCCGGGTAGCTTCTGAGGTAGGCCTCCATCTTTCCCGAACAGCTGTCCTTTCAGGTGTGTGCAGGGCTAGGAATGGGCTGTTCCCGCTCCAGCTGCACTGGGCCTCCTGTCTTCCCCTCCCACACGTGATTTGGAGGAGCTGGGGGGAGGCCTGGAGTTTGTGTCTTCCTAGACCCCTTAGCAGAGCTGACTTCTGAGGATCCCCCTATATCATGCAGAACAAGTAGATGCTTCCTAGATGCTTTCTTTGGAAGAGGTCCCACCCCTTGTGCCAAGGTGGCCTGCTTCTTCCTGAGTCACACAGCCCATGTTTTCCTTTCATGATGACTGTTGCCTGAACCCTAAATTTATTGGGGCTGGGAGGTGCCTTATATACCTTTTTAACCATGATTCTGGTTCTGAGAGAGCCTGGAGAATTAGGGCCTGGACAATAGTGGGGAGGGGTCAGCTCCTGGGGACTGTCCACTGCACTAGTTGTAGGGTGGGAGGACTGGACTGACCAGGGTCCCTGTGAATTTACACTACAGATACAGGCAGAGAGGACAGGACTGATCGGGGTCTCTAGATTCACATTAGGGGTACAGCTGGTGGGGGCAGACTGGCCAGGGTCCTGGTGAATTCCTGGGGTGGCCAGATGCCAGCCTGGACCTGCTTCAGCATGGCCAGGCAGGACTGTGCCCTCTGGCAGCCTGGCTGTGTAATCTGGAGTGCCACCCGGGTAAGGTCAGTGGCGGACATCAGAAGCCTGGGAGCACCCTCTATCAGTGGCAGGACAGGTGCCTGACCGCCAAAAGGGCCGGGGACTTGCTTGGGGTGTGTAGCGGGAAGATGTGCGGGGTCTTTACCCTGGCCTGGCCTGTGTCCTGTGCTCAGGGGACGGTCAAGTGGAGTGGCATCCAGGTCAGTAAGCATCCGTTCAGGGAGGATGCCAGTCGCGAGTTTTCATCCATCGAGCACACCCACAGCGGAGGATGGAACCCCAGATCCCCCAGGGGAGCTCTCGCCTTCCAGGAGGTCTCAGAGTGCCCCTCCCTCGGGGCGGGTCCGCTTCCTCCGGCGCCCAGAGCCCGCAGGCGGCGCCACTGTCGCCGCTGCCTTTGCCCCCAGCGATCACGCGCCCAGCGCGGCCCGGCCCGGCCCCTGCAGGCACCATGGAGCGGCTGCTGCGGGCGGAGCTGCGCACCGCGACGCTGCGGCCCTTCGGCAGCCCCGGGGCCGGCTGCATTAGCGAGGGCCGCTCCTACGACACGGACGCAGGCCCAGTGTTCGTCAAGGTCAATCGCCGAGCGCAGGTGCGGGCCGAGGGGCGCCGGGGGCTGGAGGGCGGCACGGGCGGGCGGCGCGGGCGCGTTGTGGCGCTCCGGGCCGCGCGGCTAGCAAGCCCTGCTGGGTGTCGGGACCCGTGTCAGGTTTATTTGCTTTTGTCTTTGTTTTCTTAACGTTTCTCTACCCATGGGGTGGAGAGGCTAGGGCCCTCAGGTCTTCACCAGGTGGGGGCCGCTGCAAAACCTGCAAGACTCCGCTTAGCGCCCAGGGTCCTGCCTCCTGCAGGCACTGAGGGACAGGTGGGTGCAGCAAGAAACCTTTCCGAGCCTGCACGCAGGGCCTCTCTGGTGGACTCAGAGACATTGCACAGCGCTCTCCACGGCCCCTGACAGCACCGCAGGAATGCCCCACCCCTCCCATCTTTCCCTTCAATGGCAGGCAGGGCTGGCTGACGGTGGCTTGTCCCAGGCTCCTGTCGCCCCTCCTGCACCCTGGAGGTTTTTTTTTTTTTTGCCAGGAAGGGGCTCTTTTTTCCTGGTTCTGAGCCCCAATCTGGCTCCAGAGCCTTTAGAGTTCAGGACCATATTTGGACACAGGCCCGGCAGATGTTCGAGGGGGAGATGGCCAGCCTGGAGGCCCTCCGGAGTACTGGCCTGGTGCGGGCACCTCGGCCCATCAAGATTTTCGACGTGCCGGGAGGAGGCGCCGCCTTTGTGATGGAGCATCTGAAGATGCGGAGTCTGAGCAGGTGTGTGAGGCTGAGAGACAGACTGATATGGGAGTAGAGAGGGACATGGGAAGGCTCCGGAGGAGCAGGCCCAGTCCTGTGGTCCAGTTTCAAGGTGGGGCCCCTCTGCTGCGTGCAGAAGGTGCAGAGTTCTTGCTTCCTGGTGTATGACTGAGTTTTCCCACTGAAAACAAACATTTGTGAGCGTCGCCTGAGCTCTGTTGTGCTCTGGTGCCAGCTCAGTTTGGGCAGGGGGGTTTGATCATACTCCACATATTCCATCGTAAGAACAAGTGGAGAGCTGGAAAGGCAGTACAGGTTAAGGCACTTGCCTCTGAACCAGGTTCAATGTCTGGCATCACAAAGAGGAAGTTGCTTGCTGTTCCATTAGTAGGTCCTAGGAACTCACCACTCCATGTGGCCCTCTGTCTCTTTTGTGTTTGTTCGCTTTGGGGCACACCTGGCTGCTGTTCAGGAGGCTCCTGCCACGCGCACCAGCCCTTTGAGCCATCTGCCAGCCCTAGTGGTCCTTGTCTTATTGCAGCTCCCATTTATTTCCACAAAATCCGGGGCTTTATATTACCTGCCCATGCTCTGAGCCCTGACCCTTGACTCCCAGATTCCCTGTGGATCTCCCTGCCTCCTCCAGGGGACCCTATGCTCTTGTTCAGAGAGAGTCATTTGCCACAGTCGTTTTTCACTCTTTAAAAACTAGAGTCTTTTTCTCTGGGGAGAGGGATCCTTTCCAGGCAATGCTCAGAGGCTCAGGGGTTCATTCCTGGGGCTACTTGGCCAACCAGGGGAATGGTTCAATGTTTAAGACACTTGGCACTGCCAGAGCCCCCCGCTGTATAAACACAAAAAGGGCAGCAGCGCTCTGTCTCTCCTGCCGCCTGCGTTTGGTAGTCTAGGGCCGCTTCCCCCACCCCGGGGAGGTCGATGACGACCTGGTGTCAGTTGCAGTTTATTCCATTCTCATCTTCATTCTCTTCTGATTCTCCTCCTGCTTCTTCCTCCCCCATGCTACTTCATTCTCCTTCTCAATCCCCCTCATTCTCCTTCTGGCTCTGGAATCTGAATCCCTCAGCCCACTCTTACAGCCTAGTTAAATCCCCAATGCATGAGGGGTTGGGGTTTAAACACATAGGTGTGGTGACAATCAATAGGGGTAAAGCTACTTCCAGGACAGATACTCTTTGAGCAGGATGACCCACCCAAGAGCAGAATCCCATGGGTGTGTTTCTTCTCTCTTTGTCCAACAAACATATAAGCATTCATAATATTAATCATTTTATATGGACACAGTAAGAGATACATTAAGCTTATAGAATTGCTCTCCTAGGGCCATCTCGATCTCAGACTACAGTCTTTCCTATCCCTAACAGGGTCCTAGTCTCGTCGTTACATTTGGATCATGGCAGCATTTGTCTATAATCAAGCTCTTAACTTATAGTTAAGAATTGTGGCGCTTTGGCCTGGACCATTTCAATACCAGGGTAGCTCACAGCTTGCTCTGGGTCCATTCAGTCCCTCATCGGGACCCTGCTTTTGGGGTGCTGGGAACTAAGGGCAACTGAGGCTTAAGTCAAGGAAGCAGATGCCCAGGAGTGAATAATATTCGAAGCCAATTAAATCCTAAGTTACAAAGGCATAATATTAAACATCTTCCTGTGTCCATACAAAAGGACATTGTTTTAAACTATTCAAAAGACAATGCCTAAAGTTAAATATTAACAGAAATACAATAATAGTAGATTTTATACAATCATCTCACCATTCGCTAGATGAGCCAGACAGAAAACCATTCAATAAGGAAACAGTCATTGAAAGGGAGAAATGAAAGAGCAGGGATTGATAGACATTTATCACTGTCACTGTCACTGTCCTCCCGTTGTTCATCGATTTGCTCGAGCGGGCCCAGTAACATTGTGAGACTTGTTACTGTGTTTGGCATATCGAATACGCCACGGGGAGCTTGCCAGGCTCTGTTGTGTGGGAGAGATACTCGCGGTAGCTTGCCGGGCTCTCCGAGAGGGGTGGAGGAATCAAACTCAGGTTGGCCAGGTTGGCCGCATACAAGGCAAATGCCTTACCTGTTGTGCTATCGCTCCAGCCCTTATAAGACTTTTAATGTCCCCCACAAAAAATAATTAATACTTGTTTTTCTTCAGTGCGTAAGGGCATTTTTTGTGATAGACCACATACTTAGATACAGTACTAGTCTACATAAATTCAAGAAAGTAGAAACAGTAGAAAATTTCCTTGCAGATCACTGTTCTTTAAAGGTGGAAATAGATTAAAAACATAAAGCTTGGGAAAAAACCAAATATTTTGAAACTAAGGAACACACTTTTGAACAACCACTGGATTAAAGAGAAAAAAAGAATACATTAAAATATTCATGGATGTGGATGACAAAACTTAAGACCAGAATGTATGGAACACAGCAAGAGCCCCAATAAGAGGAAAGTTTAAAGCAATACAGGTGTTCATCAGGAAACAAGAGCAAGTGCACCAAACAAACAAACAAAAACCCCTAACATCATGTCTCAAGTAACTAGAAAAAGAAAAACAAAAGGAACCAAAAAAGGAAGAAAATGATAATTGGGGTGTAAATTGACTATATAGCTATTTTTCACAATTACTACACCATATCTGATGGGGTTCAGACAGTAAGCAACAAACCATAGAGAAAAATATATAAATATATGCCTTTCAGAGAGTCCGGCAAGCTACTGAGAGTATCCCGCCTGCACAGGCAGAGCCTGGCAAGCTCCCTGTGGCGTATTCGATATGCCAAATACAGTAACAACAACAGGTCTCATTTCCCTGACCCTGAAAGAGCCTCCAGTCATTGGGAAAAGACGAGTAAGAAGAGGCTGCTAAAATTTCAGGTCTGTGAGGAATAGAGACATTACTGGCACCTGCTCGAGTAATTCGACTAAAAACGGGATGACAGTGATACAGTGATTCAAAAGACATAAGGACAGGAGAAAGGCAGTATTAGCTTACAATACAAGTCCTAGAAGGATCTGACCTTACAAATTAACAGAGTCTGATTAGGGGAAAAAGCTGATTAACTGGTTGGGGAAGAGAGCATAGAGAAGTGGTTACGGGGCTGGAGTGATAGCACAGTGGGTAGGCGTTTGCCTTGCACGGGACCTGACCCGGGTTTGATTTCCAGCATCCCATATGGTCTCCCGAGCATGGCCAGGAGTAATTCCTGAGTGCATGAACCAGGAGTAAACCCTGTGCATCACTGGGTGTGACCCAAAAAAGAAAAAAAAAGAGAAGCGGTTACAGATAAACAAGGGAATGGGAGTGACTCGGGAGCACTGTGATAGGTGTAACCTGATAAACCTAAACTCCTTGTGGCAAGGGAGAAAGGACAAACAGTGTCATCCTACACCCCACTCCTGCTCAGGGGATTGTGGAGCAGTGCCAGGCCTGAGCTCAGGTCCTTGTGCAAGGCACATGCTCCAGACCTGTGAGCATCAGCCTGACCCTTGGGAGCCATTTTGAGGTGTCTGAGACATTTCTTCAGTGGAGCCAGAGGACTGGCTGTGATCTCAGCACTTGCTTCCTCAGCCAGGCAGCGACCCTCGGCGCCCAGATGGCTGAACTGCATCTTTACAACCAGAAGCTGGGAAAAAGTTGGAAGGAGAAGGAGCACACAGTGGGTGCGTGCTGCTGCTGGCCATGTTGGACCCAGTGACCCCGCCCCCGGAGGACTGCCCCGTGCCAACCCGGACAGAGATGGACCTTAGGCTCTGCTCCCACACTCCTTACTCCTGCTCCTGCCCACGTGGACTGAAACAATCACTGGCAGACTTGGCCCTGTTTGTCCCAGTCTGTCCGTGTCCAGGTGCTGGGTGCAGAGTGGCCTGACCCCACTGTGTGCATTAACTACCTGCCCAGGGAGTGGCCATGCCCTATTCCCATAGTGCAGTTGGGGTCACTCAGCTGGCACCAACAAGAGACCAGCCCCTCTGTCCACAGGCCACAGAGCAGATGGTGATCAGCCCCCCTATGTGACCAAGTTTGGCTTCCACACGGTGACGTGCTGTGGCTTCATCACACAGGTAAGTGCTCTTGCAGCCCCAAGCTCCAAGCCCCAGGACTGGACTCTGTGGGGGCTGCTGGGGTACCTGTGACTTGGAGTAGAGTGTGAGCTGAGTTCTGAGGTGTGAGCAGTGGAGTCCCGTGGAACTAAGTTTGGAGGTGGGTGTCGTAACATTCATCATGGTGCCTGCAGGAGGCTGACAGGCAGTATGAGCCTGGGGGCCAGGTCTTGGTGAGTTGAGCTCACAGCCTATTAGCCTGTTTGGAAGCTTCATGGACTCAAGAACTCAGCCAGCGGGTTGGGGGCTGCTATCTCATGTGGGGGTGTCCTGGACTGAGGGACCCTGGAGATCTCCCTGAAGCTTCAGGCAGCTAGAGGGATCCCCATAGCAGCAAAATGGTCTGTCTCTCTCAGGACACAGCTGCTTGGGGAGGGGGCAGTGGGCAGCCACATTTGGGCACAGGGGTTGACAGGGCTGGGCTGTGGGGGCTCCTGACCCCTGGTGCACACATACAGTAAGGCATCTTAGCTGTCTGGAGCACAGGGCCAGCTGCGCTGAAGCTGCATGAGAAGCTGATGACAATAGACTGGTCCTGCTGCCACTGTTCCATGAGGCTCCTGCTCTCTGGGGCAGTTGTTGGGGGCTGACCCATGGGGGGGATCCCTGAGGACACGAAGCATACTTAGGACTGTGGCTGCTCAGTTGGTGGACTCATGTGTGACACAGGGCATCCATCTACCATGGCATCCCTAAGGAGTTAGGGTAGGGGTTTTAGAGAAGAGGACAATGACAGAGAGGACGCATGGCAATGAGGAGACTGGGTGGCAGGCCGAACATTCACCCTGTCCTGCCAACAGCTCACACCCAGGTGGCTTCTTCTTTGGAATTGGGGAATGTGGGGACTCCAGCATCACTGTCCCGGTGGAGGATTGGCTGTTCGATGCCGGTCTCTGGTTCCTTATGCTCAAAGCTGTGTTGTTTAGGTGCAAGATGGACATAGGCCCAGGGGTGCCCCCAGGCCTCAGGTTTTTGTGGGAGCTGCACCTGCACAGCTGGGGCCACCCCAGGGTACCGTGTCCTTTCCAGAAAGTGCCTCAAGAAGGGTTCCATAGAGCAGCCTTTGTATATAAGAAGCTTTGCAACTTACTGTTTTTACATCCAGAAGTGTCCTCAGCCTCTTCTGATCCTGGTGCCCAATGGGTTTCCCCCTGCACCACCCCCCCCCCCCCCCCGGTCCAGATCAGCCTCTTGTGGCATGCAGTGTGGGTAGAACCACTCTCCGCCACTTCATCAGCTGCTTCCCTGGTCATTGTCCCGTAGCTCTCTATGCACAAGTCAGCCCGTCTGGTCACCTGCTGATGGGCATCTGGATTCTTTTTTACTTTTATTCTCCACCATGAAGAGGGCTGCTATAAACTTTTGTGTTCAAGAATTAGACAAATGTTTCCATTTATTCTGGGTGAACAGCTAGGAGGAGAATGACTAGGTGGTAAGGCACTTTAAAAAGCTGCCAGTGCATTTCCCTGGGGTGGGGTGGAGGCGCCTCGGTTTCACCCTGCCCTCTGTGTGGGAGATCCCAGTTGCTCCACTTCTGCACACAGTGTGAGGCATTTTCTATTTCCTGCGCTTTAGCCAGACAGGGAGCACAAGGGCTCTCATGGGGCTTTTCCCTGGCTTCCGGGAGGGTGTGTCCTATGCTTGTCTGAGTATTGGACACAGACATTCAGGGCCTGATGTCTTCCTTATCAGCTGGCTTTCTTTTTCCTTGGCGACAATCTTTTTTGGAACCTCGTTTAGTTGAATGGCTATATGGTCACCTCTGACGAGTGTTTGTGCAGACCAACTATTTACATGATGCACACGAGAACATTGCTTTCCTCCATCCCATGTGGCCTCAGAGAGCCTCTGGACCTGTGAACCATAAGGAGTTCAAGCTGATCCTCTTGCCCTTAGTATTTTACTCATTCCATCTGGTTTCTGCCTCCTTCCCCTTCGTTGAGCTACTTTGAAGTTTGTCTCACCTCTGTTGCTGGCTGGCTCCAATGCCCGCCACGTGGTAGGGAGGTGCTATTGGTTCCAGGCAAAGTTGGCCCCTGCCTGCCTATGCCCACCAGCTGCCGACCCCTTCCCTTGCTGCGCAGGTGAACGAATGGCAGGACGACTGGGCCACCTTCTTTACGCGGCACCGGCTTCAGGCGCAGCTGGACCTCATCGAGAAGGATTATGCCGATCAGGAGCTGCGGGAACTCTGGGCCCGGCTCCAGGTGGGCTTGGCAGATGTTCTCTGGGGAGGGGCTTCCTTCCAGAGGGCCACACACTGGCTAGAGGGGGGTACTGGGCACACGAGTGTGAGGCTGCTGAGCCGATGAAGACGCCAGGATGGAATGAGGCCCCTGAGTTGCCCTGCCGAGGGGCCACATTTACTTAGCTGGGAAGCAGGTATGTCTTGCAGGGTGGAGAGTGCCACTGTCACTCATGTTTCTGCCTTCCCTGCGAAGCTCTGTACAGCAGAACTGCACCTCAGTGCAGAGGGGCGAGCCCCTCCAAGTGTTCACTTTGAATGAAGCAGATAGCAGGGCAGAAAGAACGGTGTGTGTGTGTGTGTGTGTGTGTGTGTGTGTGTGTGTGTGTACCAAGTCCCATATAGCTCCGTGGCCCCTCTGCTGAGAACCAACCAGACATCCCATCATCTCCTGTATGGAGCCAGGAGTCTACTAGGAATGCAGGAGTGGGTAAGACAAGGCTGTGCCCTGGAGACCTCGGAGCCTCACTGTCCAGAGGCCTCGGGTGGGCACACGGTCATCTCTGCTCTTTCCCAAGTATTGTGGGAGAGTCACTGCATATGATTCAGGAACGCTGGTAACTGTTTGCATGATTCTTTTTTTTAGGTGAAAATTCCAGATATGTTTAGTGGCCTAGAAATTGTCCCTGCCCTTCTTCATGGGGATCTCTGGTCAGGAAATGTGGCCGAGGACGACGAAGGGCCCCTCATTTATGACCCGGCATCCTTTTATGGCCATTCTGAGTTTGAATTGGCAATTGCTTTGATGTTTGGAGGGTTCCCCCGGTCCTTCTTCACTGCTTACCACCAGAAGATCCCTAAAACTCCAGGCTTTGACCAGCGGCTGCTACTGTATCAACTTTTTAACTACCTGAACCATTGGAACCACTTTGGGAGGGAGTACCGAAGCCCATCCCTGACCACCATGAGGCGGCTTCTGAAGTAGCAGCCATTCTCTTCTCCTGCTTCACCCAGTTTCTCCAAAGGTAGTGAGGGCACCCGGGCCATGTGACTTCAGGTACTAATAAAGCCAGAGAGCCCTCAGGGTGTCCACTTCCAGCTTCCTTTCCCTTGCATCTCTGTTTGTCTGGATTAATTTACGCAGCTCAGACCTCAGTGGTTTCCAGTGGGCTCATTAGGGACCCTAATTGGTTATAGGAATTCACAAACAGCCAGGATCTGCATCCCCCTGTGGACACCGCAGCACTGTGGCCATGAAATGGACCTTACCTCTTCAGCAGCACTTCTGGGGCTGTAGGACAGATGGAAGGAAGGGCTCTGTGGGGACCTCTGCTGCACAGGCCTGTCCTTCTCCATGCTCTGGCAGTTGTATTTCTGGGTAAAGGAGGGTCAGAGGGGATCGGAAGCTTGAATTGTGCAGTACATGACATAAGGTGGTGTTGCAGAGGGGATAGTCCTGGGACAGTGGAGCTGGGTGGCCCATGTGTGCACTCACAGACAGGGAGCCTCATCTCTGTTATCCCTTTGAAGATTATCAGTCACTTCCCACCTTAAGAGAGCTTATGAGGGTTCACATCTTCCATCAAGTGTGGGAGCTGGCCGCTGAGCTCATGAGAGACTTTCTAGCTAGACGTCCCCACAAAGGTGCCTTCCCCTGCCAGAGGCTTAGGACAAGGGTTAAGGCTTTTGCATGGCATGAGATGGAACTCCAGCACCAACAGGAGTGATTCCTGAGCATCACCGAGTGTTGCTTTGAAACCAAAACTACACACAAAAGGCACCTTCCAAACAGTAAAGTGCTACGTGATGGACGTTTCAGGAGGCGAGGGCCTAGACCCTGAGCAGAGCACCTGTGGGCCTCACAGGACCAGACGCCCCATCCAGCCTCGCTCCCATCCTACCTCGCCTTGCCCCTCCTGCTGCCCACTGCCAGCCCCGCCCCTACGCGCTCCGCCCCGCCTCCACACAGCCGTCGGTCCCGCCCTGACTATGGCTCCGCCTTCAGATCGCTATTGGCCCCGCCCCAGACTATGGCTCCGCCTCCAGGGTGGTATGCCCCGCCACTCCCTCGCCCAGCTGTCGGCCCCGCCCCGACTATGGCCCCGCCTCCAGACCGCTATCGGCCCCGCCCCGACTATGGCCCCGCCCGGTTCCGCCTCCAGACCGCTGTCGGCCCCGCCTCGACTATGGCCCCGCTCGGCCCCGCCTCCAGACCAATGTCCGCTCCGCTCCCGACTATGGCCCCGTCCCCGCTCTGCCCGCTGCATCCCATCCCGCCTGAGACCCTGCCCCCCGCCCAGACCCACTTCACTTCAGACCCAGCCCTCTTCCAATTTCTTACTAATCTCGCGCCCCCGCGCAAACTTGGTCCCACTCCATCGCAGATTCCGCCCCAAACCTGGTCCCGCCCCGCCCAGACCCGCCCCAGCCAAGCTCAGGCCTCACCTTCAACGTCACTCAACTGGCGAAGACACGCCCTCACCCGCCGACAGCACCAAGCCACTCCCCCTAAGCGAACACTAAGTTGCTTACCACGCCCCTGTCGCAGCCTCCCGTCTGGTCGGTACCCGCAGCCGACCCCATTCCTGGGACTGTGGTTCGGGCCCCGTTTTCCCGACAATGCCCTCGACACAGCCCCGCCGCGGGATCCGTAGTCCTAGTTGTGCCCGGCACCCGCGGGGCGCTCCGCGTCTGCGTCCAGTCGCGCCCACCTCTGCCTTCGCGCGCACTCTTTTGGCCGCTGGCGCGCTCGGTAGCGGGGGGCGGAGGGCGCGGGGTGGGGCGAGCGCTGGTTACGCCCTCGCGGGCGACTCCGGCGTTCGGCGACTCCAGGGAGCCGCGAGGATGGCGCTGGGTGAAGGCGCGGCCGCGGGCTCGCTGGAGGATGAGGCGGAGGTGGACGCGCTGGCCCTGGGCAGCGCCCTCGAGGCGTTCGGCGAGAGTGAGGAGACGCGCGCGCTGCTCGGCCGCCTGCCGGCCGTGCTGAACGAGCGCGTGGCCGGGGAGGCGCTCCTGGAGCGGTTCCGAGGTGCGGGCCCGAGCCGCGCGTTGGGACCGGCTGTGGGGCTCAGGGAGGAGGGGGCGGGGGCGGGGGGGAACAGGGTGTGGGGAGGGGCGGGGGTGGGGCTCAGGGAGGGGAGGGCGGGGGTGGGGGACGGTGTGGGGAGGGACCGGGGTGGGGGACAGGATGTGGGGGGGCGGGGGTGGGGCTCAGGGAGGAGGGGGCGGGAGTGGGGGGCAGGGTGTGGGGCGGGGCGAGGTTGGGATTCAGGGAGGAGAGGGGCGGGGTGGAGGGGGACAGTTTGTGGGGAGGGGCGGGCTTGAGGCTCAGGGAGGAGGGGGGTGGGGCTCAGGGAGGGAAGGGCGGGGGTGGGAGGGGACACGGTGTGGGGAGGGGTGGGGATGGGGCTCAGGGAGGAGAGGGACCGGGTGTGGGGAGGGGAGGGGATGGGGCTTAGGGAGAAAGGAGGCGGGGTGGGTAGGGGAGGGTGCGCGGGTGGGAGCAACACTGTGGGGAGGGCGGGGCATTGGGGACACTGCGAGGGGCGGGGGCAGGGGCGGGGGTGGAGAGGGTGAGGGGTCAGGGCTCAGGGAGGAGACGCAGGGCTGGGGACTCAAAGAGGCAGGGGTGTGTGGATTAGGGTGGAGAGGGGTCAGGTGTGGGGGTTTAGGGAGGAGTGAGGCAGGGGTGAGGGTTTAGGATAGAGACGGGGCAGGGACGTGGGGTTAGGGTGAGAGGAGGCCGGGTGAGTGTCAGTGTGTAGAGGGGCCTGAGCAAGGTCAGGAAGTTGGATCCAGTGAGGGGTCTGAACCAGCGGGCTGCTTGGGGTGTGGATCTCATCTTCCCTTTCTTCCTTAGCAATAATGGACAAATACCAGGAGCAGCCGCACCTGTTGGACCCACACCTTGGTAAGAGTGTGAGGTGGAATTGTACCCTGGGTGGGCTCTGTGCCTTACCTGTTCGCTCCAGCGCCTCTGGCTGATGGTCAGGTTTCCTGCCCTTCCCCCTCCCACGCCCCCCCCCCCCCCCCCCCCCAGTGGCCTGCATATGGCTCCTTGTGCAAGTGGAGACCCTGAGTCTTGCACTTGAATCACTGGTTGGAAGAACAAATTTTTTTTGGGGGGGGGGTTGTCTTTCCGTATTCTTTAAGTTACTCCTGGCACTGATGGCAGGACCGCCGTCTACTTGTCCCGTGGTGCGCTCTGTCCCTTGCTTGCTGTCTTGCCCCAGAGGTAGCCCATGCTCCTGGGGTGAAGCTCAAGAGGAAAGGCAGTGGGCTTAGGGTCTCTGTGTTCACATGCCAGCTCCATCTCACAAGGCCTCTGCACTGTGACTTGATGAGGGGAAGGTGTTGCCCTGGGAGCTGGGCAGTTTCTGACAATTGTGCTGTGTCTTGGGTGCCAGCCTGGCTAAGTGAAGGTTCTGCTGAGGGCAGAGGATGCCACTATCATCTCTGGAACTTGTTCTTGTCTCAAGTCCTGGCTGACTCAGCTCAGCTCCATTTCTCAGAGGTCCCCACTGGCCTATTTGCTTGTGCTTACTGCTTATTGTATTGTTCCTTGTCTGGAAATCTATTTGTGCAGTTTTCTTTGTGTTGGTGTTGGTTAGTGGGCAAATTATTCCTTTAAAATTGGAAGTGGGGGCTGGAGTGATAGCACAGCAGGTAGGGCATTTGCTTTGCACGGGGCTGACCTGGGTTCGATTCCCAGTATCCCATATGGTCCCCCGAGCACCACCAGGAGTAATTCCTGAGTGCAGAGCCAGGAGTGACCCCTGTGCATCGCTGGGTGTGACCCCCTCCAAAACAAAACTGGAAGTGTAGATTCTCTTTTTCATCACACAGTAATGACTAAAACCAGATCATTGTGGGACTGGATAGATAGTTCAGCGGGTAGGGCATTTATCTTCCATATCACTGACCCAGGTTTGATTCCTTGGCACCCTGTATGGTTCCCCAAGCCCTGCCAGGAGTGATCCCTGAGAGTCCCTTAAAAACCAAATCAGATCACTGCTAAATAGTTGTAGCAGGAATCTTTTGTAATGTAGGGTATTGGGTATTGGTTTGAGATAGAATAATTTTCTTTGTAGTGATAATGTTTCTCCTAAATTTGAAAGCAGGAATACATGTCTTGTTTGCAATACGTCACTAGCAGAAACTGTTAAGATTAAAATGTAGGTTATTTTTGGCTAGATTGGCAATTGGATTACATAGGTTTACTAATCTGAATCATGCTTTCATTTCTAAACTTTGTTTTTGCTTTTGGGCCACATCTGGTTTTAGTCAGGATTTACTCCTGATTCTGTACTGAGGAATCACTCCTAGTGGGCTTGGGGGACCATAAGTGATGCCAGGGATTGAACTTGGGTTGGTCATGTGCAGGGTAAATGCACTACTTGCTATAGCCCCATCTAAGTCTCATTTCTTTTGATATTTTAATAGTATATTTAGGGGCTAGAGAAATAGTACAACAGGTTAGGTACTTGCTTCACATGCAGACATCCCCAGTTTGATCCCTAGCACTGTAGAGCATAGAACTAGTAATAAGCCTTTACCAACTGTAGAATGTGACTCCAAGACAAAACAAAAATATCATTCATATATATATTTTTAATGTAGAAGTACTGCTATTCGGCCATTGATTAAGCTGATAATCATTCATATTTTTTGTTTGTTTTTGGCACACACTCAGCATTGCTCAGGGCTTACTCCTGGCTCTGCACTCAGGGATCACTCCTGGTGGGGGTTGGGGGACAGTGTATAGGATGCTGAGGATCAAACCCGGGTCATTCATATGCAAGGAAAGTGCCTTACCTGTTGCTCTGGTCCCTCGTATTTATTTACATAACAAGTGTTTGTGTTTTTTCTCTAAATATGTTTTTTATCTAGAATGGATGATGAACATCTTGTTGGATCTTGTGAGAGATAAGGCATCCCCAGCTGACCTTGTACATCTGGCTTTTAAATTCCTTTATATCATCACTAAGGTAATGTTCACATAGTGCTTCATGGTAGAGTCTTCTATAATGTACTCTGCCCAGAAGTTACCTGCCAAAATGTTATTGATGGAAAGATGGTTTTACTTTTCCTCCTTGTACCACATGTTGGGGATCAGATGTCAGTGATCCACAGGAGATCTTGAGTAAACAGTGTCTGAGATATTTAACATCTTGGATTTGAATAATTTGAATAGTCACTTTGGTAGAACGGAAGGGATGGAGGGAGATGATCAATTCAGAGAAGTTTCTTACAAGGAATTTAGCAGAAAAAACTTGATGGAATGGAACTACTTCTCAAACTTACCTGTGTTGAGGCTTTTGCAGATTCTGAGTAAGTAAGTCTGGATGTCTGCATTCTCACGCTTTTCAGGGATGTCCTGTCTGTGCTGCAGGCCAGCCGCTGCCCCTTTGGCCAATGGATGACTTGGCTATCTCAGGGTGAGAGGCCATGTGTTGTCACTGTGCCTACCTGTGATGGCTGGGGTCCACCTTTCTGTGTCTCATTTTTATTTTTTGGTGGGGGTAGTGGGGAAGGGCACACCTGGTGAGCAGTGCGTACTTCTGCCTCTGCACCTCTGCACTCAGGAATTACTCCTGGTAGTGCTTTGTGCTTGGGGGACCAAATGGGATGATAGGGATAGAATCTGGGTTGGCAGTGTGCAAGGCAAGGGCCCTCCCTACTATTACTCTCTCTTTGGCCCCGATGAGTGATTTTTTTTTTTTTTGATGGTGATCCCCATCCAGTGGTGCTCAGGGCTTACTCCTGGCTCTTTGCTCAGGGATCACTCCTGGGCAGGCTTGGGGGACCTTGTGGGGTGCTGAGGATCAAAGCCTGGTCGGCAAGCACCCTACCCTGTGTACTGTTGCTCCCGTCCCAACTTGAGTAATTTTTGGCGACAGAAGGATCACTTTGGTACTCTACACTTTCTTTGTCTTGTTTTTGTTTTGGTGCTACACTTGTTGGTGCTCAAAGGTCACTCCTAGCTCTGCACTCAGGAATCTCTTCTGGTGGGCTCAGAGGACCATAGTGCAAGGCGAGCACCACCCTACCTATTGTACGATCTCTCTGATCCTATACTTTGTTTTATGATAAGTCGCTGTCCTTTTGTTGTCTGGTAGGTTCGAGGATATAAAACATTTCTGCGTTTATTTCCTCATGAAGTAGCTGACGTGCAGCCTATTTTAGACATGTTTACGACTCAGAACCCCAAGGACCATGAGGTGAGTCTGAATCTCATCTCCCACCTTCCTTTTGGTTCCATCTCTTCCTGCTCTGGTAGCTGTGCTGTTTCCTTGTGTTTTTTTTTTTCCCTTGCTTTTTGGGTCACACCCGGCGATACATAGGGGTTACTCCTGGCTTATGCACTCATGACTCATGCACTCAGGAATTACTCCTGGCGGTGCTCAGGGGACCATCTGGGATTCTGGGAATTGAACCTGGGTCAGCTGCATGCAAGGCAAACACCCTACCTGCTGTGCTATCATTACAGCCCCTTTCTTGGGTTTTTATATCATGCTCATTTGTATCAGTCTTTCTTTTATTCGCCTGGCATTTTTTCTTTTTATACGTATGGCTCTAAAATATTTTCTTTTAAATACATGTCAAGAAATCTGCCTGAACACATTTTGCTGAGCATTGTGCCACCAGCCAGGTTTTTAAAATATGAATTCTCACTCTGATGGGAGTATCCTGGGCCACTGATGGGACTCATTTGTTCTCAGGACTGTGATTTAGGACAGAGAAGTAGTGGGTGGTGAGGGGGAAAGCAGGGGTAACATTCCAGCGTCTCCTCTTCAGGGGTGACATTGAGCATGAATTGTGATAAGGATACTTGGGAAGTCTGCTCCCCCAGGGAATACAGAGAAGCAGTGTCCTAGGGTTTTAAGGGGGCTGCACATGTGTGAGCTGGGATTGGGAACCCCTACCAGTGGCCTGTAGGCCTGTGTGAACGTGCTTTAGGTCTGAGTGGTGTGTGGTGTGGAGTCCTCCTGAGTGGCTGGGCCTACTCTCCACTTGAGTCAGGAATCATCCTTTCTCCATCCTCTCCTTCCCCAAGGTTCCTCCTGGGGCCAGAGTAGAATCTAAGTAAATGTCCAAAGTGAAGTCACTCCACTTTGACTGGAAATTGAAGATTTCTTTTTATTCTGTTTTTTTAAATTAATTTATTTGGGCTGGAGCGATAGTACAGTGGGTAGGGAGTTTACCATGCATGTGGCCAACCAGGTTCGATTCCCAGCACCCCATATAGTCCGTCGAGCACCGCCAGGAGTAATTCCTGAGTGCAGAGCCAGGAGTAATGCCTGGGCATCGCCGGTGTGACCCAAAAAAGCAAAAGCAAAAAAATTAATTTGTTTCCATTAGGGAATGCGGTGGTGTTTGACTGAGGATCTGTTCTTGTCTCTGTGCTCGGGAATGAGCGTCTCTAGGATGCAAGGCAAGTGCCTTAATCCCTGTACTCGCTTTTAAAATTTTTTTTTTTTTTTTGGTTTTTGGGCCCCACTCACCTGTAATGTCTCTCTGATTCTAGGATCTTTTTTTTGGGGGGGGGAGGCCACATCCAGCAGTGCCAAGGGGACCCAACCATATGCAGTGCTGGGGATCGAACTTTCCTTAAATATTTTGGCAGTTGTTTTGGGGCCAGACCTGACAGTGCTTGGTAGCTATTCCCAGGCTTTAGTTTTGGGTTTGTACCTGGCCATGCTTAGGAACTTGTGGTGCTGAATGAGGCATCCTGCATGCGGAGTATATGCTCCGACCATTGTGCTATTTCTTAGTCTTTTTTTTTTTTCAGGATCTACTAAGGGGTGCACAGGAGACCTGAGGTTCCCTCATGGTCAGTCTAGGTCAACTGGCTGTTCAGTATCAGGACTTGAGGGTGAGGTGCTTCTTGGGCTCTGGGGCTGGAATTATCCAAGCCAAGCTGGTGGTGCCTGGGGGATGTTCAGGGGAGCATACAATGCTGGGATTTTAAGCCCTATTCTATTTTTCTGGTCCTGGCTTTTATTTTATTTTTTGGCCACATTTTGGACAAGGCTGTGTTCAGACTCCTGGCTCTGCGCTCAGGAATCACTCCTGGTGGTGCTCAGAGGACCATATGGGATGCTGGGAATTGATCCTCGGTCCTCCCATGAGCAGGGCAAGTGCCCTTCCATTGTGCTGTCTCTGGCTCCAATTTTTTTTATTTCCTGCTTTTTTGGTCACACCTGGCGATGCACAGGGGTTACCCCTGGCTCATACACTCAGGAATTACTCTTGGCGGTGCTTGGGGAACTATATGGGATGCTGGGAATTGAACCCAGGTTGGCTGCGTGCAAGACAAAATGCCTTACCTGCTGTGCTATCGCTCCAGCCCCTGGCTCCAATTCTTTTTTTTTTTTTTAAATTGTAAAATCTTTTTTTTTTTTTTCATTAGTGAGACACCATGAGGTACAGTTGTAGACTTACAAATTTTTGTGCTTGGGTTTTAATTATACAATGATCAAATACCCATCCCTCCACCAGTGCTCATTTCCCACCACCACGGATCCCAGTATCCCTCTCACCCCCCCATTCCCCCCTCCCACCCTGCCTCTGTGGCAGGGCATTCCCTTTTGTTCTCTCTCTCCTATTGGGTGTTGTGGTTTGCAAAAGAGGCAATGGGTGGCAATCATGTTTGGTCTATAGTCTACTTTCAGCATGCTTCTCCCATCCTGGGAGGATCCTCCCAACACCTTTTATTTGGTGTTCCCTTCTCTATCTGAGCTCCCTTTTCCCCTAGCATGTGTGGCTGGCCTTCAAGCCATGGAGTAAAATTCCTGGTACTAATCTCGGCTTGGCTCCAATTCTTAAGGTTTCTGTTTCTTTCAACTTTTTTATTTGTTTCACTTTGTCAAAAGTTTGATTGCCAGTGGAGAAGGTAGTAGCTGATGTGTTACGATATTTCTTTATTCACTTTGTTCTTTTGTTGAGGTGACTGTGTTTGTCAGAGTGTACATGGTGGGGTATAGTGGGGACATAGGAGGAACTGAGGGTCGTCTTCACTTTGACTCTGAGGTTCACAGCATTTGAAGGGCCTTTGTGGCATCGAGTGGGTGGGAGGTGGCAGTGGGTTCTGTTCTTCATCCAGGTGGCATTTTTCTTTAACTCCTTAGACGTGGGAGACTCGCTACATGCTTTTGCTGTGGCTCTCTATGATCTGCCTGATCCCTTTTGATTTTTCACGTCTTGATGGGAACCTCACTCAACCTGGACAGACTCGGATATCCGTCATGGACCAGATTCTTCAAATAGCAAAGGTAAATAATCACTCACCAGTGCTTTCATGCTTCTGTGTCATGCTGTTTGCTATACTTTGAACTTACATGTAATTTTGTTAAGAGGCTGCTGTTTTTCAGTGAGGTAGTATTTCATGTCATGACTTTAAAATCTTAATAATTTGGCTTGCTCTTCAAGCCTGTGTTCTCCATTGAACACGTCTTCCTTTCCTTCTCTCAGATTTTTCTTTTTTTGAAATAAATAGATTTTATTTGGAGGATTTTTAGGTATGGAGGGAGAGAGAGTGAGAGAGTAACGTACTCGAGAGAACCTGGGATTCTCCAAGGGCGGAGAGAGCCCCTACACACATCCTAGCATTAGACACGAAAGCATGAAAGTACACATCTCAAGAGGAGAGATGCGGGCGACACGTGCTCCGGCACCACGTGTGCTCAGCCACGTGGACTAGAGCAGCACATGAGATCAGGCAGCATATACGCCTCCTCTCACATTTTTCTAAGTAAGTTTTAGTCAATAAAAATTGTCTTGTTTCACTAAAAAACATTGTAGTAATTTGTATAGGGGAGCAGAGACACTATAGAGGGTAGGCACTTGTCTTTTTTTTTTTTGTTTTGTTTTGTTTTGTTGACCACACCTGGTGATGCTCGGGTTACTCCTGGCTGTGCACTCAGTAATCACTCCTGGGTGAATCACTCCTATTTCTCTGGCCCCTTAATTTATTTTTTAATATGTTAATAATAATTGTAGGAAAACTAGAAAAGAAGAAGCAGTAGTAATATTAAATGTAAATCTCTCATTCTGAGAGGTTCTGAGAAGAACCTCTCACTGGCTGGGGTCTCACTGGTCCCTAGGCCGGATAAGGGCCTCATGGTTCCCCTCGGCCCAGGGTCAGAGCCTCATGGACCTCTTAGACTGAGTCAGGGGCTCATGGGTCCCCTAGGCCAGGGTTTGGTGCTCACATAGGTGGTGTGATAACCTATCACACGGGCTCAGATTTGGACTGGTGTCAGTTACACAGAGGGTGTGCTCTCATCTATGGGTGCTGCCAGTTAGATGGTCTTCGAGAGTCATCAAGAATGACTCTAGGGTCATTGTGTCCTAGAACAAAAGCCCCTGTTTGAGGAGTTGGAGAGATAGTACAGATAATTAAATTATTATATTAAATGTAAATCTCAAATTCTGCTGAGAGGTAATACTTTCATGTCCTTTCTTGATGGAAATACTGTGCACATAAAACATAGATTCCTGTTCTGCTTACTTAGCCTTAGCTGTTGATACTTAACAAGTTTCCCCAAATGTGAGTGCTTTGGTAGGACACATGTTTTGTCTTATGGTTTCTATGGGTCAGGAACCTGGCCAGGAATCTTTTCTGGGCCCTCAGCTCAAGGCCCCCCCCAACCTAGTCTTTTGGGGCAGGGCAGCTCTAGGCTCTATAGATGGTTGGACAGGGCCTGATTCTGGTTCTTTGCTAGAGACTATTTTTCCTGACCACATGGTTCCAACACAGCCAGCAGGGGGCAGGAGCTGCTGGTAAACAGGATGATAGTACCTTGGTCATCAGAAATAGGCCATCTCACCCTTTGCTAGATTCTGTTGCTTGGAAGGAAGTCATGGTGTCTAACACATCTGGAAGGGTTACTTAGGGCCGGGGCAGGACCAGGGCCATCTGAGAATCAGAGGCCACACTTTTTTATATTCAGAATTTGTTGAACTTGCTGTGTGACAGACAACACTAAACACTTTGTTCCTGAAGTGGGTGTGTTTGGGCTAGTGCTCCCCACACACAGGTGGGTGTGAGAGTAAGTAGTTTATCAAGGGTTTTATATTGGTGGTACACGGTGCTTCACCTTGTGAGGCTGGTGTTGGGAGGAGATATTGGAGGGGAGTCATGATATGTGTATTCATAAGGCTCTGCTTTTTCCTTTTAGTCCTACTTGCTGGTCAGTGACAAGGCCCGTGATGCAGCTGCTGTTCTTGTGTCCAAGTAAGTGTGCCTGTTGGTTCTGGTTGTTTGGGGAAGGTGGCTGTTCTGTGAGGGTGTTTGCTCTGTGTGCCTTTTTTTCTGTTTCCTTCTCTAAGGAACATTGGGCTTCGTTTTTTAATTTTTTCTTTTTTTTTTGAGAGAAAGTAGAATCTGAACCTCTTATGATGAATCAGTCAGGGCTGAGGTCTCACTGGTCCCTAGGCCGGGTCAGGGCCTCATGAATCCCCTTGGCCCTGGGTCAGAACCTTATGGACCTCCTAGACTGAGTCAGGGGCTCATGAATCCCCTAGGCCAGGGTTTGGTGCTCACATAGATGGTGTGATAACCTATCATGCGGGCTCAGATTTGGACTGGTGTCAGTTACACAGAGGGTGTGCTCTCATCTATGGGTGCTGCCAATTGACTCATGCACTCAGGAATTACTCATTGCGGTGCTCAGGAGACCATATGCGATGCTGGGAATTGAACCCAGGTCAGACGTGTGCAAGGCAAGTGCCCTACCTGCTGTGCTATTGCTCCAGCTCCGTGTGACCCAGTTTTGACCCCTGGCTTTGAGAGACATCAAGTATGACTCTAGGGTCATTGTGTCCTAGAACAAAAGCCCCTGTTTGAGGGGCTGGAGAGATAGTACAGATTGGAGAGCATTTGCCTTGCATATGTCTGACTTGGATTCAATCCCTGGCATCCTATATAGCACCCTGGCTCTGGACTAAAGTTTTAAAACACCTACACACACACACACACAAACGCACACACACGCTTAAATTCCCAACCCCTACTCTCTTTCTTCCTGATGGTGTTGTGGTGCCAGGATCACACATGGCTGGCTGTCGCTCTTGCTGGGGTACACAGCAGGTCATGGTCTTGTGCTCCTGGCTGCAGTGCTTGCCAGGTCTGTACCTTCTTTGGTTGTACTGTTGTGTTGGTGCTTGTATTCTCTGTGCTCCCAATCTTAGTTGGGACAATTCCTGGCTGGCTGCCCACACATGCTTGCCAGAGGTCACTCTTCCTGACTGTGATGCTCATCAGGCCATACACCCTCCTGTGGTGCTTAGACACCTATTGCTGCAGGGGGCTGAAAGGGTCTTATTCGATATATGTGGAACACTCATGGGGATTTGAGCTCACACAGTCGCATGGCAGGTGCTCTGAGCCCATACTGTCCCTCAGTCTGGATGAATTTTTTTTTATTTTAATGTGGAGATGGTATTTTTCCCCTAGGTATTTTTAATTTTATTATTTTTTCTCACAATGTCAGGTATTGAACCCAGGGCCTAACACACACAAGGCAAGTGCTTTACTGCTGAACTACTTCTCTGATCTTTAGTTTTTCTCCCTCTCTCCTTCCCTCCCTCCCTTCCTCCCTTCCTTCTGTGATAAATTCCTTCCTTATTCCCTGGTGATGCTCAGGGGTTATTCTTGGATCTGCACTCAGGAATTATTCCTTCGGTGGTTGGGGAACCATATGGGATGCCGGGAATTGAATTCAGTTCAGTGTGTGCAAGGCAACCACCCTATATGCTATACTACTTCTCTAAACCCCTCTTTCTTTTTTTTTCCCTTAATTTTTGAACCACACCTGACAGTACTCAGGGCTTACTTCTGGCTCAGTGCTCAGAGATCACGCTGGCATTACCGGGGATTGCCCAAGTTGGCCACGTGCAGTACAAGTTTCTTCCCTGATGTACTATTGCTTTGACCTCTAGTTATCTTTATTTATTTAGGTAATAACCAGCAATGCTCAGGGATTATTCCTGGCTTTGCACTAAGGAATTACTCGTGGCAGTGCTTGGGGGACCATATGGGATGCTGGGGCTTGAACCCAGGTCAGCCACATGCAAGTAGTTATCCTTATTTTATTTATTTTACTTTTATTTTTTATTAAATCACTGAGATAGACTATCACAAAGCTATCCATGATTGGGTTTCAATCATACAGTGTTCCAACACCCATCCCTCCACTAGTGCACATTTCCCACCACCAATGTCCCCAGTTTCCCTCCTATCTCTTCTATCCTCCCCACCTCAGCTGCCTCTATGGTAAACACCTTTTTTCTTTTTCTCTCCCCCCCCCCCCCTTTTGTGCATTATGGTTTCAATACAGGTACTAGGAGGTCATTGTGTTTGTTCAGGGCATTTGGTATTTTTATCGGCCCTCCCGTTGATCATCGATTTGCTCGAGCGGGCCCAGTAACGTCTCCATTGGAGACTTTGTTGTTACTGTGTCTGGCATATCGAATACTCTCGGTAGCTTGCCGGGCTCTCCGAGAGGAGCGGAGGAATCGAACTCGGCTCGGCCATGTTGGCTGCGTGCAAGACAGACGCCCTACCCGCTGTGCTATCGCTCCAGCCCAGTATTTTTATCAGCTCCAGAGGGTATAACTGGAGTAGCTGTTTTTAACTGGGTGGTGGCTTTGGGCTGTGGATATGACTGTCAGGGGTTCTGGAAGTATGGGGAAATGCGGGAAGGTTGCCCATCCCGGCCCTGAGAATACCTAGAGATTTCAGTCACAAAACCCATAAACTGAATTTTCAGCAAGTTAGTATCTCGGGAGCAAGTGGCTCCTGGAGCCTGAGTTTGGGAGGGCTCTGGGCTAACCAACCCTTCTCCAGTGTACTCTGTTCTGTTCAACCTTGCGTGGACCCGAGATTGACTGTGGCTTTTGATCTCTCTTGAGATTTGTTTATGGGTCTCTGAAGCAAGGCCAATAAATGAGCTTGTATGGCTGAGCCAGAGGTGGTTTGTGGGTATGGCTCCCACATATCTAACTTCTGGCAGTTTAATTTCTTGGGAAACATTGTTCTGAGTTGCTGGAGTCTGGCCAGAGGCACAGCGGTGAGTTGGGGGTATCAGGAAGCCTGAAGGAACCAGTAGGCTGCTGATGTACTCATCCCATGAGTCCAGGTTGACCTGCTGGCAGCAGTGCTGGGGTCAGGTATGTGGTGCTGGGGATTGGACCTGGGTGGGCAGCATGTAAGGATTGTGTCTTCCCTTCCGTATTGTCTCCCTGGCAGGGTTGAGGTAAAGGAGACAGGACTTACTGCCTGTCCCTCTCAAGTCGTTGCCCCGAGTCTCACGTTCTCTGAAAACCTACACCAACTTTTTTTTTTAAATGTAGGAGTATTGCTATTTATTTAGCCATTTATTAGGCTGAATGAATTAAACCAACTTCTTGACTGCTGATCCTGCCCTGGGAGGATGCCTGTTCTCCTTTGTTGCCATGACTTTGACCTGCAGAGTTCCTTGTGGTCAAGGACTCCTGGTGTACTCCTTGTGGGCAGGAAGATGAAGCATGTTTGTTGTTATTGCAGGGTTCACTTCCAGCAGTTCTGGGGGGCCATGCAGTTCCAGGGTTGAATCCAGGACTTCTCAGCTTGGAACTACTTCTCCCCGAGAGCTTTTGTCAGCAGCCAGCAGGCCAGTGGCTGAGGCTGTCAGCCTAGGGGGTCACTGCTGACATGGGAGATATGGAGGGGCTTGGGCACTGTTCTGGGCCACTGAGGGCATGTTACAGACTGGAAGGACCATTGGCAGTATTGGAGCATTTCTTGTGCTTGTGGCTGTGAGAGTGTGCGTGTGCAGTTTTTCCTCAGGTGCTCCAATGATACTGCACCCCTTCAGTCTTGGGACCCAGCAGTTAGCTGTGGCCCTGGTGGCAGGGTGGTGGCAAGTTGGGTTGGAGGTAGGCATCTCCTAGGTATGTATCTTCGGCTCTGTCTTTCCCTTCTGCCCTCACTTTGGAGCTGACTGCTCTGAGGCTCTGCTCAGTGTCATACCCATATGAACTGCCATTGGCCCTGCGCAGCCTGTCCCTAGCTGTCACTTTGTTGAGCTCTACATACTGGGAGGAGGGAATCCACTCATCGCTGGCTCTTGTGCCCTGGCCATGGTCTTGTGTCAGGCAGCAGCTTTTTGCTCTGGGTTTAGTGGCCTCCCAACCTTCAGATGCAGGGCTGGGCACCTTTCTGTGAGAGTGCTGCCCCACTCCCTCCTTCCCTGCCAGCTGCTTTCTTCATGCCCCTGGCAGATTTTCTGTGTTTCTGTTCAGGAAACTGCATCATCAGCTGAGCACTGCACTGTTAGGTGTGATGATCATGCTTGGTTCAGTTACTCGGGAGGGAGAACTCAGTGTGGGCCCTGAGTTGGGAGATCGGGGGAACCTGTAGACTCTCCTGGGCTTCCAGGGAGTGCAGAGTGGAATACCTTTGGGGAACTTGTGAACTCCAGTAAAGGTCTGTGAGGTGTGTGTGCATGTGTGTCTGTCCGTGCAGTGTGCAAGTCTGTCTCTCAATGCTCTGTCGGTGCAGTGTGTGTTTCCGTCCATGCAGTATGTGTCTGTTCATGCAGTGTGTGTACATTCATGCAGTGCATATGTGTTTATCCATGCAGTGTGTGTTCCTTCGTCCATGCAGTGCATATTTATTATTGATCTGTCCATGCAGTGCATATAAATGTGTCCATGCAATGTGCATGTTTGTGTAGTGTCCATACTGTGTTGTGCCTCTCCATGCAGTGTTTGTCTATGGAGTGCATGTGTGTCCATCTGTACAGTGTGTCTGTCTATGCGTTGTGTCTATCTGTGTAGTGTGCATTTGTGTAGTGCATCTGTGTCAGTCCACATACTGTGTGTCCATTTGTGCTATGCATTTGTCCATGCAGTTCATGTGTATTTGTTCATGTGGTGCATGTGTGTAGGTTCTGCAGTGTGTGTCCATGCAGTTCGCGTATATGTGTCTATGCAGTGTGTGTGTGTGTCCATGCGGTGATTGTTTGTGTAGTGTTTGTCCATGTAGTGTGTATCTGTGCAGCGCATGTGTCGATTTATTCAGTACATTTGTTGTACATTGTGTGTTTGTCTGTTTAATGCGTGCCGTTGTGTGTGTCTGCCTGCAGTGTGGGTATGTGTAGAGTGAGGCCCTGTAGTGCAGGGCAGACCTTGCATGTGGGCTGTGGATGCTGTGGCTGTAGGTTTCCAAGTCTGCTTGAATCATGGGTCTTGGTGGGGTTCTGGGCTGTTGCCTCAGGTTGAGGGGGTCCAGGCCCGAGGAGTGGGCACGCTTAGGAGCTTGTGGTGGGAGGGCTTGAAGCCTGTGGTTGGAGGTGTTGGGGCATCCTAGTGTGGAGAACAGGCTTCCTGGTGTGAGACTTCCCTAAAGCGTGGCTGGTCTCTGCTCTGGAGGGCCTCTGTGGAACTTTCACCTTCCTTGACCCCCGGCAGGTTTGTTACACGGCCTGACGTCAAGCAGAAGAAGATGGAGCACTTCTTGGACTGGAGTCTGTGTACTTTGGCCCACTCTTCCTTCCAGACCATGATTGGCGTCATCACCATGGACGGAATGCTGCAGGCCCTGGTAAGAGTGCCCCCACTATTAGTATCGGCAGTCTGTATGAGGGGCTGTTAGAATGACAGACAGGTATCCTTTGTGTCCATGAAGGGGCAAAAACTCAGTGAAAAGTGAGGACAAAAGGAGCCACAGGGCGTTTGAGCCATTCTTGGCCATCACCACCAGGAGGCAGTGGTGTCCTTGAAGCCAAAAGCCTGAGAGGTGGCAGGCTGGGGGTGTGTCCTCCGGCTTCTTGCTGCCTAGTGTTAGCTGCTGTCTTAGTAACCAGCTCTTAGGAAGTAGGCTGATGGCGTGGAAGCTGATTCTGTCCAGATATTCTGATCAGGATGATCTGAACAGTGTCGGTAAGCATGGACTTGGTACAGGCATATACACACACCCCTCCACACCCCCACAACCACTCCATGTGTTTCCTGGCACACTCCCCCACACCCACACCCCCCTACCACCCTTTGTACTGCCTGGCCCTTCTCACGCACCACCCCCATACTATCCTATGTGCTGTCTGACACCCCTCACCCTGTCCCTGTCCTTCCCCTCCCCCTACTACATACTTACCCTCAACCACTTCTGTGCTACTTGGCCCTGCATACACATACACATACTCCTCTACCACTCTATTGGCGTACACACACAACTCTCCTATTCTGATTTCTGTTTGGCGTGTATACACACAGACACACACCCCTACTACCCCATATGCTGCCTGGCACACACATACCCCAATATCATTCTGTGTACTGCTTGGCCCTGTACATAAACACAGATACACACACACACACACACACACACACACACACACCCCTCTACCACCCTGTAGGCTGCTCTGTATGCTGTCTGATGCACATGCACGAGCCCACACACACATACACATACACACCATGGGGTGGTCAGGGCAGCATGTGGCTGCCCTTGGAGATGCCTGGTAGCTGCCCACATGCACACACACATTCAGACACCCAACCGCCATGCTGCCTGGCCCTGCATCTGTCCTCTCTGGTCTACTCTCCTCTGCATGCTTGTCTCTGCACTGCCATTCCAGTGAAAGGGAGAGTCCACAAGAGAGGAGGCTTCACAGCCTTGGAGCCCTTGGGCAGCTCTCTTGGAATGTTCTGTTTTGTTCCTTCTCTTTCACATTGCCCTTGTCTTCAGATGATGACTATTTCAACACTTTTAAAAAGAGCCCTGGGGCTGGAGCTATAGCACACCCAGGTTCGATCCCCAGCACCCCATATGGTTCCCCAGGCACCGCCAGGAGTGATTCCTGGGTGCAGAGCCAGGAGTAACTTCTGAGCATCTCTGGGTGTGACCCAAAAAGCAAAAAAAATAAATAAAAATAATAAATAAATAAATAAAAAGAGCCCTGGAAACTGCTGCGCTCTTAAGTGATTCGTGCTTCTGTTCCGTAACTAAAGGTGGTGAGTGAGGGTTGAGGAGGTGCTCAGTGGGTTGAACTTAAGCTTTGTATGCTGGAGTCCTTAGTTCCATCCCTGGCCCTGCCAGGAGTGGCCCACAAAGAGAAAGTATACTGGTCAGTGATTATTCTGCATGAGCACAGTATTGTACAGCCACCCCCATGTTACAGTTCCATAATGTACTCATGATTTCTCAAAGAGATTCTGTTTGCACCTGTGTATTCCCCACCAGCCCTCGTGTCCATTAATCTTCTCATCCTGGATTTCCTCAGTCTGGATGTTTGTTTCGTTTTTTTATCATCTTTGGTTTTTGGACCACACCTGGTTATGCTCAAAGCTTGCTCTTGGCCCTGTGCTGAGAGAGCACTCCTGGCGGGGGTTGGGAGACCACATGTGATCCTGGGGATTAAACCTGGGTCAGCTGCATACAAGACAAGCGCCTTCCCCGTGGTCCTGTCTCCTGCCCAGGATGCCCCCTTTCAGAGGAGTCATGTTCTATGACCTTTGTGGTTGGCTGGCCTCTCACTGGGCACTATGTTTACAAGCGCCTCCACATGGTGGCTGCGTCAGGGCTTCATCTTGCTTGCAGCCAAGTAACATTCCATTCTGTGGGTGTCCCTATTTATGAATAATGCTAACCTAGACTTTCCTGTATGTTTTGAGCTTATTTTTAATTCCCTTGGGCATGTAACAATGATTTAAAACGTGGCTGGGTGAGCTGCCCTTGGGGCTCTGTGCTCCTCCTTTGTGGGGTGGTGCTAGAGTGTTTGTGAGTTTGGTTTCCTTGCTGTGATGGGGGCCAGAGCGTGGTCAGGGCAGGGTGTGGCTACCCTTGGAGGTGCCTGGCAGCCACCCACACCTGGACCCAGATTATATGTGTGTTCTAGGTGGTTTTGGTGATGGAGGGTAGAAGTGAAGATGGTTTATCTTGAAGATTGGGAATAAGCAAATCCCAAGCCCCCTCTTTTCTTTTAGGTCTTGGGCCGCACCCAGCAGTGCTCAGGCTCTGTGCTCAGGGATCATTCCTGGCAGGGCTGCCCATATTTGGTGTCAGGTATTGAACTGGGATTGGTTGCTTTGTAGGGTGAACACGTTTCCCTCTGTACTATCTTTCTAATCCTGATCCTCCTCTTTATTTTTTTGCCACGAATTCCATGGGAAGTGTTGGTCATAGAGAATTGCAGGAGTCTGACGGGTGATCATTCCTTCTGTCTAGCAGGGTGTGTGCTGGTGTGTGCTCTGCCTTGGAGGAGTGGGGGTTCTGGACCAGATTCAGACCTGTGCATTCACTCAGGCAGCTGCACTACTGATAGGCTCGCTAGTCTCCTGTGGCCCCTCAGGGAGGCATCTCTGTGTTCCATGTTGGCTGTGGACTGGAGCCAGTTGAACCACTCAGGCACCTGTGAGAAGGTGTGGCATTGAGATGGCCATGGGGCTCTGTTGGTCCAGTCCCCCTCTCCTGTAAAGCATTTGGGATCACCTGCTGCCTCTCTCTAGATCATTCCCAAGTTCTTCTCTCCTCTTCCCAGGGGGGTCACTCTTGGTACAGTAGTCCAAGGTGCCCCCTGGCAGTTCACACTACGAGAGTTGGGATTGGGTTCAGGACCTGTTCCCAGAACACCCAGAGAGTGAGGGGGTGTTTATCATTTGGACGCTCCACGTGCCACACTTGGAGGAGAGTTTGCTGAGGATGAAAGCTTGATTTTACCAGAGGTTTAAAAGGCTGAGCCCTCTGGGTGTGGCCCCCACCCTCACCGGAAGCTGCCTGGTGAGCAAATGCTCATTGGCAGTGAAGGGCACTGGGCTTGGCCTGCGGCTCAGCCCTCTCTGGAGAGAGCTGCTCCTACCTGTGTGAGGGACGCTGCGGTTCTGGGTGGAGGAGGCCTCCGGGTCATCCTCAGGAAAGCTCCCTGTGCTGGGATCACACGTGTTGTTTCCTTGCGTTTCTGAAGGAGCGGTTTGGTCTCATTGGTGCAGTCCAGGCGGGGGAGGCGGGCAGCCTTGGGCTCTCTGAGCCAGCGGGAGCCAGTTTCGCCACAGCCCGTCAGACCTGCCAGGCAGAGGCTGGGCGTCCGCAGAGCGTGATGAAACCTGCAGGGGTGTTGTGCCCGAGGATTTCATCTGTTTCCTTTGATGCACTTGGCTGGGGTTTAATCCACCTGTTCATTATGTGGGTTAGGCGAAACAGGTGAACTCGCAACAAGCACCATCGAAACTGGGGTCTGGCTTTACTTCCCTGGCGGCGTGCTTCGCGTGCACCAGTGATTTTCAGCTCTTGAGGGAGGGGAGAAAAGTGTTTGGTCAGTTGGTTGCACTGACCTGCAACGGGAGGCTCTGTCCTTTTGCTTATTGTGGCAGCAGCCCTGCTTGACTCCTGCTGGGATCAGTGAGTGAGACAGTGAGAGTTGGAGACGCAGGAGGGAGGGAAACCCCACTGGACAGGGGCACCTTGGTGCTTCTACATTCCCAGCACCTGCTTCTCCCTGTGGCTTTCTCTGTTGTCTCTCAGGGGTGCTGGTGGGCGGCAGGAACTTGGGTCCCTAGAACTGAGTTCTTTCCCCTTTAATCCATGACTAGTGTGAGGTGTCACTATAAAGTGCTCTTCTGTTTACAGGCTGTTCTGATTGTGCCTCTCCTTCACAGAGAAGTGCCTCATTTTCTTTGTTGCTGACAGAAATATGTCTTGTAAAATGATAAAACAACAGCTCATGATATCAGAGTCCAGCCTAGAAGAGTTGGAAAGTGCCTGCAATCCCTTCAATTTCTCTAGACCAGTGTTTCCCAGAGTAGATGCTAAAGTGATATAGAGGGGGCCTTTAGGAGCCTTGGGTGCAGTTGGGGGACTCTTTCTGTTTGCTTATAGAAGGCAGATGTTTAGGGGGGCACTGAATAATGTGTTTGTGTATTTCCCCCCCTGAAGAGGGAGCAGTCGGTAAAATAATAAGTTGGGGTACTTCTGCCCCAGATTGTCCCTAGACTTTCTGTTTGGGTGAGGAGTGTCAGGCGCCTGTTTCTGCTGTGTCGTTGTGGTGGACAAGGGTGGCTCGGTTGTGGGGAGGGGGGGGAAGGGAAGCACGTTTTAGAAACAATCCTTCTGGCCTTGCTGCTTTTGTCCTGTGACCCTCTGTGTTTGAGGGAGGCTGACCTCATATGGGCCATCCCTTAGCCTGGCTGTGAAGTGCCCATGACCTGGGTCCTGTCTGTGGACGGAAATAACGAGCCTCACCTCATAGGGTGGCATGAGGGTAATTAGTGTGTGTCAAGCTCTTTGAAGATGAAAAGGAGCCACCTGATTTTCCAGAAGCTTTCTCATACTGGCTTTGATTTCTTTTCTCTGGTTTCTGGGGAGCAGCTCCCTATGGTCTCTTTGGAGGCCCCTTTGACCAGAGGACAGGCTGTCCAGATTTTGCCTCTTAGTTATAGTTGTGCCTGGGGCAGGGTCGGGGCGGAGCAGGCTGTGGCAAGAACCGTGAGTGTACATATTTCTCCCCTGTGTGCTCATGTAGAAGTTGTGATACAGAGGCCTCCCATTCCTTCTTTTGGGAGGGGGGAGTGAGCTGCCAGCCTTGGCTGCTTCCTTTCACTTGCTGTGACTGAGTGGAGCTGCTTCATGGTGGCTTCCAGCTCGTAACACAGGCCTGGCATGGCTGCATGGCTGCAAGGTGGCTCAGAGGTCTGGAGTGTGTCCTGGTGCCCACAAGGCACCCATACATGGCCTACAGCATTGCTGTGTTGGCCTGATGACCCTCTGGTCCCCTGGTTTGAGTAGTGCCACATTGTAGCCTGGGCATTCGCCTCTTTGTCCAGTACTACAGGACAGAGTGCTTTGGGGAGTAGTCCATGGACCCCCTGAACATTTCCACCCTAGGAAGTAAAAAGCAGGGGTTTGGGGGCCATATCTGTGAACTGAAGAGATGTGTTTGAGGGCTCAAGAGAGGCTCCCTGGGCCTGCAGCCGCAACAGCTCCCTGAAGCTCTAGGCTTCTTTCACCCTCACTGTGCTGTCCTCCTGACCCTGTCTAAGGCTCTTTCTTCCTTAGGATGCCCAAATGGGTTCTAGTCTTGTTGCTTTTTTCCTGTCCCAGCTCTGCAGTGAGCTGTCATTGGCCTTGCTATTCTTTTTCTCTGTGCTTTTCCTGTTGGGCCTGCGCGTCTTTCTTTGGTTTTTTGGTTTTTTTTTTGCTTTTTGGGTCACACCTGGCTAAGCACAGGAGTTACTCCTGGTTCATGCACTCAGGAATTACTCCTGGTGGTGCTCAGGGGACCATATGGGATGCTGGGAATCGAACCTAGGTCGGCTGCGTGCAAGGCAAATGCCCTACCCGCTGTGCTATTGCTCCAGCCCCTGCGCGTCTTGATCATGATGGCCAGTGTACCCCAGCAGAATGGGGAACACAGAATGGCCTGGCCCTGCCCCAACACAGGATGGGGACCATGCACCTCTGTCTATGCATCAGGCTCCTACTGCTGAAGGGCAAGTGGGCAGACCCCAGCACTTTTTAGTTGCAAATCTGGGGCCCAGGGGCCTTTTCCACACTTGAGTGTTGTTGGGAAACTGGACTGTGCATGTGGTAACCAGACATGGGAGGAAGTGGCGCAGGAAGAGGACCATCCAGCAGGACTGAGAGGGTTCTCTTTTCTGAGTGATGTTGGTCTGTTCCTGCTCTCAGAGTGTTGGACACTTGGCACTTGGTGCTAAAATTCTGTCCTCCTGGATTCTTCAACTGCGGCTCTGGCTGTCCAGGGACGCAGCAGGGCCGGCACCTGCCCTCACAGCAGCTCAGGTTCAAGCTGTGGGAGCCTGGCCCTGATATTGGTGGGAGGAACTGTCCTGAGGTGTGGCCGTGGGCTCAGCTGTCTCTGCTGCTCAGTCCTGCAGCCCCTGACTTTCTCAATGTTCGTTCTTCCATCTGATCACTGAGAGGACAGTGCCCTCTGTCTGGGCCAGGAGCCTCCTCTGCCCTTGGCTCAGGCCCAGAGTACCCCTTGCCTGCAAGCTGGGGAGCCCAGGTTCCCTTCCTGAGCTAGGGACAAGCTTTATGAGAAGTGGATCCTTGAACTGCTGTTGCCTCTGTGTCCCGGTCCACTCAGTTCTTTCCTGGGGCAGAAACTTAGGCTTGACCTTGGTCCCATGTGAAGAGCCTAACCTTAACTTGGACCCTGTTGCGGGGAGTCCATCCTTGACCTTGGTCCCGATGCCCAGCCTTGGTTCTTGGCCGTGATGTAGAAATCTGGCCTTGACTTTGGTTCTTTGCTTCTGAATTCTCTGGCAGGGATTGCATCTTGCATATTCCACTGTGTTAGGCAAACAAGAGACATGGATCAGTATTTCGTGGCTCTTGGTACATTGACCAAGAAAGATTGTTTTCAGGAGGGTCAAGCCTGGTGATGCCCCTGCTGGTGGTTTGGTATTTAGCATGTCCTTATCCTGAGAGCTGGCTCCCTCATGTCAGTGAGACCCCAATTCCTGTGTGCAGGGGGAGCCCTCTGATCAGTGCACTCCTGGGGTGGTGTTCTCTATGGACCGAGCCAGGCATGACAGGCCATCGCAACTGCAGGCTCTGTCTCTGTAGATACTGCTGGCCCTGAGCAGGACGCATAGCTGGACTGTTGTGTGGTGGCCTTTGCCAGAATTCCCACCTAGGGAGAAAAAGAGTAACATGTGATTCTTGTGACTGTTCAGCACTTCTGTGTGGAGTTTGTACTTCCTTGTTTGTATATTTAATTCTTTGTGATTTATGTGTTTTATCAGGAATTGTGTTTTCATTCAGTCCTAGCTGAGTCTGATCAGCCCTTTGGTTGGGTTGAAACCTTCATTTCTGTAGTGAAGTTAGTTGTCCACTTTGACCTGGAGTATGAGGTCCTGAGGAAGGACATGGACGTTGAGGAGAATGAGGAGGTGGTGTGGCCTGGCCCTGCCCCTGGTGGTCCCCAGGCTCTCAGGGCTGTCTGCTTCCTTTACTTTCATCATACTTGTTGGGCAGGAGGCTGCTGCTCCAGCCCAGATGGGCTGGAGGGCACAGACCACGGGGATGGGTGATGGCGAGAGCAGAGTTGGGGTCCTGGCACTCAGCACTCACCTGTCCACAGCTCTGGCGGGTGCTGGGGAGTGACACCCAGCCCTGGGTGGAGCTGCTTTCCTTGACCTTGACTTGGGGATGCCTCAGGGGAGCCTTAGACTCGTACTTCCGGCTTGGCAACAGGGCAGACTTGCCCCCAGCAGCTGACGCCCGTGACTCATGTATGGAGAACATGCCCCAGGAGGGGCACTGATTTGCACGTGGCAGAAAAGCCAGTTTGGTGGGGAGCGGTGGACGGGTGTAAAGTCTGGGGTGAGTGTGGTGTGTGGAATTGCCCAGGCAGAGCTGTTGTCTCTCCCTGGGGCTCCTCTGAGGGTCAGTGCTCGCAGGAAATGGCACTGCCCAGCTCTGAGGATAGCCCCCCATTGGCATAAATCACCATGGCTGTATTTCTTCCCTTCCTTCCTTTCCCTGCCTTTGCCCTCAGAGTCAGCTTAGGGGAGGCTTGGCATAAAAGGATGTTGATGAAGTACTCCTGCTCTCTCTGGTGTTCGACAGCTCATTCCTGGTGCGAGATAAGGCCAGGAGCTTGATCCTGGGCGGGTGGGCACTGCCCTTCCTGTTGCTCTTCCTTCCTGCCTCTACCACGTCTTCTGACTAGCAGGACTACTCCCTGTAGCAGGAGCTTCACAGGCATCTTGGATTTACCTCCCAACCCCCATGTGCCTTGTATGTGCCACAGTATGGAAGGTGGGAGCCAGGGTCACATGCAGGACCAACCTCCTGGGTAGAACTTCACGTGATTCCTAAACAGCAAGTTTACTATTACAGTAAGCTTGAGTACTCTGCGCCAGCTGCCGCCAAGCCGGCGTGTGGGGGACCAGCTATCCTGTTGGTGCATGTGGATTTTGTGGTCTCCCTGTGGAAGGGCTGCAGGGGGAGGTGATCTCTGCACCTTGACTGATGAACACATGCTATGTGCATCCCTGTGTGCATAATTCTCCTAGGAGGCAGGTGGGTCTCTGAGGAAGTGTCTGCGAGGGGACAGTGCCTGGAGGCTGGTGTCTGAGGGCACGCAGGGTCCATGGACCCTGGAAGAGGAATGAGGTTGAGACTGTCCTGAGGTGGATCGGTTCTTTCTGAGAGAACTGCAGGCCCTATGCTGTTTCTCCTGAGTCAAAGGCTGTGTCCTCCGCTGCCAGCCCAGGCCTGTTGTAGGTGGACATACAGTTCAGCCGCGACTTGTAGAGCAGGTACTTGGCTAGCCCTTCTCAGCCATCAGGACTTGGTCTCTCCCTGTTGCAATCAGTGTGCCCTTGTCAGGAAGATGTCACCCTCAGTGTGTCTGTTGTGTCTGTTATTTTGTTGTTTTGTGATACAGAGTGGTCAGTCTCATATATTCCACTCTGCATCAGTACTCTAGTTTTGGGGTCACTCACATGGGATTGTGGGATGCACACTTTGTTGGGGTGCCAGGGAATGTGTTCGGGACATGTAGGGTGGCACTTGGGGACAAACTCTTAGCCTCTCTTCTCAAGCCCTTCCATGCTGCTTTTGGAGGAAGAGATATTCCTCACAATTCCTGTCAGTGCCCGTCCTTGGGCTCTTGGTTCTCAGGCCTGGTGATTGGGATGGTCCTTTATCATCCAGAAGCAAGTGTCGACACTGGGTTGGGGTTGCTGGATAGTAACTGTGTGGCCTCTTTCCGTAGGCACTAGGCTCTGAGGCGGGACTGAGAGGGAGAAGCTCGGTGAGCCCTGGGAAAGCTTGGTCTGTCATCGCTGAGATGACTAGCCCATGTTCGTTTTGGGCACAGGTCTGCAGCTCCTCTGAGGTCTGACAGAGTGGCTCTTCCCCTTAGCACTGCCACTCTGTTGAAGATGCACCTTAGACAGTTTTCTCTCTGGAGGCGGGCCACACCTGGTGGTTCTCATGGGTTACTCCTGACTCTACACTCAGGAATTAATTCTGATGGGCTCAGGGAACCATATGGGATGCTGGGGATTGAACCTCGGTTGGTTGTGTGCAAGGGAAACACCCTCCCCACAGTACTATCGCTCAGGCCCCTTTTTCCTCTATATTTTCTTGTGGGGCTGGTCTCTGAATTGGAAATGTTATAAATTATTTTTATAATTTATGTTTCAAATATGTGAACGTATCTACATCATTTTCATAGGATTTTTTTTTTCAGGCACAAATATTTAAGCATGGAAAACGTGAAGACTGTCTGCCCTATGGTGAGTGTGTTTGTAAGAGGTCTTTTGTGATGTGGCTTGTTGTATATAATCAGCATACCCCCTTACTCGGTGTTTCTGGAGATTATTTCACTCTTTGGGTTTCTGTTTGTTTCCAGTGCCTGTGTATGGAGTGGTCTGGCTTCTAGGTTTTGTGGGGGATGTTTGGGTTCTCTTGCCATCTCTCTGCTTGCATGCAATCACATGATTCTGGAATCAGTCTGTATCTCTGATCATGTGACTTCCCTAACACCCTCTACAGCCCCAAGACCTATGGTGCGGTTTCTCATGCCCATCACATGCTTTTGCAGGACTGTCTGGTTGAGAACAGCTTTCTCTACCTGGGCCTTGTTGGTCTTGGGCTCCATGGCTGTGTTTCATAAGGAGAAAGTTGAGCAGCTTCAACCAGTCTAGATTGTTTTTTGGGGGGTATTGGGAGTCACACCTGGCAATGTTCTGGGGGTATCTGCTGGCTTTGTGCTTAGGAATTATTCCCGGTGGATTGAACCTGGGTCACCTGCGTGTAGGCAAATGCCCTACCTGCTGTACTATAGCTCTGGTCCCTAGATTTTTTTTTTCTTTTTTGTTGGTGATGGTGGGGTGTGCATTTGAGCCACATCTGGTGGTGCTCAAGGCTGACTCCTGGCTCTGTGCTCAGAGATCAAGCCTGGTGGGACTTGGGGGACCCTATGCAGTGCTGGGGGTCTAACTGGGGTTGTTTTCATGTAAAAGAAAGTGCCTAGCTCTTCGATACACTGAAAGGCATGGCTGGCAGTACTCAGGGTCCATCATGCTGCATTGGGGAGTCCACTCTGTTAGGGCACTGCAGGTGGCATTTAGAAGATGGCGCAATAGCCTCCTGTCTGCCCTGTGCTTTGATTGCAGCTGCTGTTGTTCTTCGCTGCCTGGATGGCTGCAGGCTCCCCGAAAGCAATCAGACTCTGCTCCGGAAATTGGGGGTGAAGCTTGTGCAGCGGCTGGGCCTCACCTTCCTGAGACCCAGGGTGGCCAAGTGGAGGTTGGTGTACCAGGCTGTGGGCATTGGGGAAATCTGTGTGACAGCCCCTGCAGATGCGCCTCTGCTCTCGGCTTTGATCTTCAGACTGGGTCAGGCCTGGAGCAGGTTTCCAGGAGGCTTCTGGCTCTGTCCCCTCACCAGTCCAACGAAGGTTGCAGGTGCATCTGTGCAGGCTATGGTCCAGCCCCTCCCAGCTGGCTGCCAGATGGTTTGTAGTGCCAGGCCAGTGCGGCTCAGATACTGCATATAGCACTCGCATGGTCCTGCTGCTCCTCCGACTGGCAGCTGCTCAGTGTGTGTCCCCAGCAGTTGGCCCCAGGTGGGGACTCAGTCTTCCTTCTCCCCCCATCGCATCCCTTCCCATCAGCCAGTCTAGTCTGCCTTGTCCCCATGCTCTGACTACCCACAGGCCAGAGCTTTGCACAGGCTCTTCTTTTGCCTCAGAACTCGGGGAGCTCTGGGAGTGCTTCATTTCACACAGGCTGTGGCTCAGGTCTGGGAGGAGAGGACTCATCCCTCTGTGCCTTCCTGGTGTACCACCTCCCGTCCTTCCTTTTGCTGGCACTTGCCTCATTTGCAGACCAAACACCCCATCTGGAACAAAGACCAAATGGGGTATGTGTGACCAGTCGTAGTTGTAGCAGCAGTGGCGTAAGTTTAGCATCTTGAAATGGTGTGTGTTCAGAGTAGCAGTTTCTGTGAGTTGGGAATTGGGGTTGCTGCAGTTGGAGGGTGCTGTCCTGTCACTCAGCACTCTGCTTCAAATGTGGTACAATGCCTTGGGCCCTGCTCTTTGTGCCCATGGTAGGCCTGAGGCTGCCTGCAGTGGAGGTGAGCATGGGGAAGTGCACCCTGATGTACTCTACCCTTAGGAGTGTGTCTGGAGCCTATGGTGACGGTCAGAGGAAGGACACCTGTGCGCTGCTTGCTGCCCCTGGCTGTAGAGATAGATGCTAAGATGCAGACCACTAGGTTTTACACTCCAGCACCCTGTGTTTCCTGACTGGCATCCTTCCTCAGGGGGCTGCCCTGAGGTGTGGCCTGCTATCTGGAAGGGAGGGGCTTGTCCTGGGGCTTGTTCTGCATAGACCCTGACCCAAGTGCTTTGTGAACCCTTGCTGTATCCTCTCTGTAGGTGTTGGGCAGTGTAGTGGGACAGCAGGTTCGTGATCCCTGGGGAAGGTGGTGCTGGATCTGGGCTGGAGGCAGAAGCTGTGCCTGGGCATAGAGGACCATGGCTGCTGAAGACTGGTCTGGTTGGGAGTGTACTGTTGGTCCCCTCCTGCCTCCATGCTGTGCTTTGTTTTCTGCTTTCTTGACCAGAGTGTGGCCCTTTGGGAGGCTCATTTAGAGCTTGGGTCTGCTGTAGATGGGGTGAGGGTAGCCTGTAGGCATGCAGTTTGTCCTCCCCTGAGCCCTGTCAGGTGTCCTCCAGGTCACAGAGACCCTGGCTTGCTGGTTTGGGGGCAGGAACTGATCTTCTAGTTTGGATTGTGATACTGTGCTGAGATACTCCTGTTGCCTTGCAGGTACCAGCGTGGGTGCCGCTTGTTGGCCACCAACCTGCAGCTGTCCAGTCAGAATCAGAGTGAGCTGGGACAGACACAGAACCCCAAGGATCCCAAGGTGGAGGAGGAGGATGACGATGACAGCGATGTCCCTGAGGAATTAGAGAGTGTGATTGGTGTGTGGGCCCTCGAACTGTGGCAGAGTGGGTGGACCACTGGTCTGTGCCGGCCACCCTCATCCCCTGCCCTCTCTGCCTCCCTGCTCAGCAGGCTGCTTGCCAGAGTTTTCAGCACCTGCATCCCCACCCCATTCTTCTCATGGCAGGAGGGAAGGAGCAATTTGACCTGAGACCTCATGCCTGTCCTCCTCTTCTATGCCATTGGCCTACCTTCCTGGGTGGGTGGGTGCCCTTGGTTAAGGGTCTACCTGTTGGGCATCAGGGCTCTGATGTTGAAACATCTGGTACTTCCCAGTGTCTTTGGGTCTCTGTGAGACTTTTCTTGCTTCAGCCCAGGAAGCACCTCCTGCAGCCTGTGGCAAATAGTCTTCCCAGGGGGCCGTTTGCACCCCAGCACACTTGAAGCCTCTGTGTGTTGGGTATTGGCTCCTAGACAGTGGCCAGGAAGGGGTTTTCCATGATTCCCTATAAAGCCAGAGGGAAGCATTTTCTTCCTGTTACAGATTCGGGCTTCTGAATGGTCTCCCCTTCTGGGTGCTCGAATGTTGTGTAGGGGTGGGCAGGTTGCAGGCTGGAGGCGTGGCTCACTCCCAACTGGGGGTCATGCTAAGCTCTTTGGCCATCTTCTTGTACTTGCAGAGCAGCTGCTGGGCGGGCTGAAGGACACGGACACTATTGTGCGGTGGTCTGCAGCTAAAGGGTAGGTGCCAGTGGGGGTGGGAGGTGAGGGTAGGAGTTGTGTCCCAAGACTGACTGAGCTGCTTGATCAAGTGTGGGTATGGTCAGCTGAGAAATGGAAAGAGACACACACCAGGTTACTGTGTAAATAGACACAGGTTACTGCTTTAGGGTCCATTTTTTATTTTTTTAAGTGCTTGCAAGTAGTGCTCAGTGTGTGCCGGGCCCATTCCAGCAATATTTGGCCTGGCTGTGTAGCTGGTCAGTTCAGTGCATGGGTCCAGGAATTGAACTCAGGCCTGGTGCAAACTGGGAGACACTCCAGCATATCAAGCTATCTACCAGATCAAGATGTCAGTTAAACTTTTTGGGGTGGGAGGGTTTAGGCACCACCCGGTGGTGCTCAGGGATCTCCTTCTGACTCTGCTCTGGGACTCCTCCTGTTGGTGTTGGGGCTTGCACCACAGGTCTGGAATGCAAGGCAAGCTCTCTGTCAAAAGTTTTCCATTTGACTGACCAATTGATTGTTTTGGGGCCACACCCAGCTGTGCTAGGGCTTACTTCTGGCTCCATGCCCAGGATTACTCCTGCCAGTAATTAGAACTTACTCCTGACGCTGTGCTTAGGGATCTGTGAAGGCCCAGAGGACCCAATACAGTGCCAGGGACTAAACTCAGGTCAGCCAGATGCCAGGCAAGCTCCTTAACCTGCTGAATAAACTCTCCAGTCCAAGAGTAAAATTTTAGATGCATCTTTTTTTTTTACTGTTTCTAAGGGTCAAACCGAGGACCTCACACATGCAAGGCAAGAGCTGTGCCACTGAGCTACCTACCTTGCCTACAAAGTTCCAATTTAAAAGTGACCCCCGAGGCTAACTTCCAGCTACTTCCTTATCACACAGATCCACTTATGTGACCTTTGCTGTTCTTTCCTTGACCTTCCCTGTTGTCACCACAGCCCACTGATGGGCATGACCACCCCCCAACAGCAAGCAGGTGCCATATGGTGGTATCTAGTGGGCTGGTGCTGGCCTTGGTCCCATCTGGGCAGCCACCTGCAGAGAGCATATCTCTCAGGCTGCCTGACCGGATCAGGCCTCTCTGAGCCCCTAGGGACCTACCTCGTTAGGCTGCTGGCCTTTTTGTTCCAGGAGGGTCCCCCCAGCCTAGTTTTTCTAGGAGTTATGACTTTATATCAGGGAAAATCCACTGATAAAATGAATGCAAAAGTCTCTGTGGTCCCCTGTACTACATTTCCAGTTTCCAGTACTTGGTGCTAGCCTCACACCCCAGGCGGGAATGAGCTGCCTAACCCCCTCACCTGCCTTCCTTTCTGCACAGCACAGCAGAGACTCATACTCATCCCTGGTGCTCTGCACGTGCCCCACTGTTTGTTGGGTCCGTGGAAAAGTGTCTGTCTGTGCTGATGGGGTTCTTCTCTGTTTTAGGATTGGCAGGATTGCGGGAAGGCTTCCCAAAGAGCTGGCGGATGATGTGGTGGGGTCTGTGCTGGATTGCTTCAGGTATGTATGGACCAGGGGTTCTCAGCACTGGCTCTCTACACTGGCTTCTCAGACCTGAACTGCCTCCAAATTTCGCTTCCTCTTGTGGAGGTTAAATTTGAGAATTTGATTTATTTTTGGCTTATTTCTTTGATTAGTGTGCGCTGCATACATTAAAAAAGGAAGAAAGAAAAACTTTCTTGAGATGTGTACTTCCATTCCTTCATATTCTAACCTTGGGATGTGTACTGGGGCTTTCTGCCCACTCTGGAGACTGTGTTCTCTCTTGAGCATATTATTCTCTCTCCCTCTCCCCCAGTTCCTCAAATCTTCCAAATAAAACCTGTTTACTTAAAAACAAAATATCTGCTTCAAGTATACATGCATTTATTCCTTGAGAATACTGGTCCTCACTTCCTGGAACTTTCTATGATGATGGTGCTATAGATCTGTGTCTATGGTTGCCTGAGACGTTGCAGAGAGGCTGCTGTGGGCTGCAGTCGAGGCTCCATTTACTTTTTTTTTGGCATTTTTTTGGGTCAGGTGTGATCCCAAAAATGGTGCTCAGGGGTAGCTTCTGGCTTTGCACTCAGGAATTACTCCTGGTGTTGCTCAGGGGACCATATAGGATGCTGGGGATCGAACCCTGGGCTGCATGTAAGGCAAATGCCCTACCTGATATACTATTGCTTTGACACCTCCATTTACTTTCTTTTTTTTTTTTTTTTTTTTTGCTTTTTGGGTCACACAAGGGGATGCACAGGGGTTTATTCCTGGCTCTGCACTCAGGAATTACTCCTGGTGGTGCTCAGGGTACCATATGGGATGCTGGGAATCGAACCTGGATTGGCCACGTGCAAGGCCCTATCCGCTGTGCTATTGCTCCAGCCCCTCCATTTACTTTTATTGGACTTAAGTGCAGTGTGTAGATGTAACAGGGCTTGGGTCACATTTGTCTGAGCTTCTGAGCAACATGTGGCAGCTAGGATGTGGATGTGGCTGGGTGTGCAGCTTGGGGGCTGAGCCTGAGACTTTTGGGTTAGAGACAGACGCCTAACGTCCTGGTAGCATAAGTGTGCTCACAGGTGTGTGTGTCGGAGTGGGTGAGCCTTTGTGTGTGAGCACTTGGGAGCACTAAGTGTGAGCTCTTGGGAATAAGTTTGGGACTGTGAGTACTAAGCATGTGAGTTCTTGGGAGTGGAACGTGAACTTTCAGGAATGTAAGCACTTAAGCATGTGAGCTCTCGGGGGTGTAAGCACTAAGTGTGAGCTTTCGGGTATGAATGAGCACTGTGAGCTCTTGGGTTTGAGTACTGTGTGAGTTCTCAGTGTGAGCACTATGTGTGAGCTCTCAGTGTGAGTACTAAGCATGTGAGTTCTCAGGAATATGAGCTTGAGAGTGTGAGTACTCTGAACTCTTGGGTGTGAGCATTAAGAGTTTAATTTCTCAGTGTGAACACTAAGTATGAGCTCTTGGGGCTGTGAGCACTAAGTATGGGTTGCTGGGAGGGTGGGCATTAAATGTTAGAGTTCTCAGTATGAGTATTAAGTGTGTGAGTTCTTGGGAGTGTGAGCTCTCAGGAATGTGAGCATTTGGCAGTGTGAGCACTACATGTGAGTTCTCAGGAATGTGAGCACTAAGTGTGTGAGCATTAAGTGTGTGAGTTCTTAGGAGTATGAGCTCCCAGGGTGTGAGCACTAAGTGTGTGAGCATTAAGTGTGTGAGTTCTTAGGAGTGTGAGCTCCCAGGATGTGAGCACTAAGTTTGTGAGCTGTGTGAGAATTGCCACAGGACGGCTGTTCATGTGCCTGCCACGTCACTCCCACTGCCTCTGGGGGGCCCATGGTCCCTCTCCTTTCTCTCCCCTCCTGGTCCCGTCTGGCCTTTCTCTAGAGCCTTCATTTGCTGGGCCTCCTCTCTTGTGCCACCCCTTCTGCCAGGCCAGGACTTGCGTTCAGCTGCTTGCAGGGGTTGCCTGTTCCCTGGTTCAGTGGGTGCCGCATCATATTGGGGTTGGGGCCCTCTGGCTCTGCGTCCACTTGGCCTCGGTGGGGGTGCCGTGCTGCAGCCTTGTTGCTGACAGCCTTTGTGGCTGAGGGTGCTATTCCTGGGGGGTATCCCTTTCTTCCCCTTGTCTCCTCTAGGGACACAGGCTGTAAGGCAGTCTGACTGGGCCCCTTCCCTTGGGGTTGACTGTGTCATGCCCATAGATGGGGGTTGGTGTGAGTGTGTGTGCTCCCTGGCCTCAAGTCAGTGCAGGTGCTGTCATCTCCGTAGGTGAGGCTTGGAGCAGACTGGGCCAGGTGTTGGAGCACCTTTGAGAGTGTAGTGTGCACTGTGGGCTGTCAGGCACACCAGCGTGCTTCCTGGGCCCGAGTCCCAGACAGTGCTCGGGGACAGGCAGGTGTCTGCAGCCTGGGTCCTTGGCATACAGGGCTTGGCTTTTCCTGCTGGTACCCCAGGTGTTCACGGCGGGGATGGGGGGTGGTGCCGTCCAGTTCTTGTGTTGGTGTTTGCTCAGAATAGGTAGAAGCTCTCAGTGGCTCCTGCACTTTGGTGAAGAGTTTCCTGTTTTGTTTCTTTAGCCCAGGGGGCGTCTTGAACAGCCTCTTGGTCTAGGAAAGGCTCTCCTTTTCCCCTCATAGGTTCCCGGGTCTGTGTCACATCTGTGGGGAAGTTTTTGTTGAATAACAGGTTTTGTTTGCAGCTGACAGTTCCGCATTCCAATTATTTATTAAAGTCTGTATGTCACACAGTGTGAAAAATTCTCTGAGTGCCTTTTCGTTCTCCATTTTTGCCACTTTTTGTTCATCCAAGCCAGCTATGTCCATCCCTACCCATACCCTTCCAGCCTCAGTTTGGCAGAACCTGTGCTATGTGGTGCTGTGTGGGCAGTGCCTGGCTGGCACTATAGTCTCAGAGCCATCATGGCTGCTGGCTGGACCTGCTCTTCCCTTCCTCCTGGTGGGATGCTTGTGGGGGCACTATCCTCTGCAGGTTCTTCCTGCTCAGGGAGTCTTGGTGGAGTTGTGTGGGCACTGTGGTCCCAGTTCTCTGTTTTCTCAGTTTCCAGGAGACGGACAGTGCCTGGCATGGTGGGTGTCTGGCGTTGGCGGAACTGGGCAGAAGAGGCTTGTTGCTTCCATCGCGACTTGAGGATGGTGAGTGAGGCCATATGCTGGTGCTGTATCACTGGGCTTTGCAGGGTACTGGGCTCTTCACCATTGTTTCCCTGTGTGGCCCAGGAGCACACACTACAGGCTACACTGCCCTCTTCACTTCACACTTCATACTTCTCTCAGCAGGAGAGAACACACTGGGTTCATTTTCTGTTGGCTCCCTACCACCTCACCCCACCCTCTTACCCCTTCAGCAGAAAATTAAATCTCAGACCTGTTCCTTTTCCAAGTTTTTCTTGTCCACAATCTCTACATCTGGGATGCTGTGGCTCATTATGGTCTGTGTACTTATGTGTGTCCTGCAAAGTGACCCTAGGGCTCTGAGAACAAGCTCAGGGACCTGAGGAGGGGCTTCCTGGACTGATGAGCTCCTGACCTTGCAGAGTGGTGACTAGTCATGGCCCTATGGCCCTGTTGGGGGTGGGGGTGTCCCTGGGTGTGGCTGGTGGTGCCTCTTTGGACAGAGGAGAAATCTGAGTGGTGACTGGGGTCTGGCATACAGAGCCTTGGTGCGGACTGTGTCTCCCTCCCTAGCACTGGACTGCAGAATCACAGGTGATGCTTTTGCACTTGGCATTAAAGCCTGAGAAGCTCTTAGACCCACGATTTCTTTTTGCTGTTCAGCTTTTTTTTTAAATTTTTAATCAAGCAGGTTTATTGCGATATGAAGCATGCATTTTAGAGTTCAGTGATTTTAGTATATTCAGCCATCACAGTTCCATTTCAGATCAGTTTCACTGTTCCTCAGTGGACTCAGGAGCATCTACCAACTTGCTTTGTTATTTTCACTATGTTTTTTGGGCTTACTCCTGGCAGTGTTTCTGTGCCCCTTTATGCTGCTTTTCGAATGGGCTTGCCTAAATGCAGTATCCTTAACTCCTGTGCTCTTTCTTTGGCACATCCTTTTTTATGGGTCCAACCTGGTGATGCCTCCTGGTGATGCCTGGGGCTTCCAGAGGGGGTGTGTTCAGGGAGTCTCATAAACCAGGGCTGTGCTGGACCTCTGGGCCCTTTTAACCGCCAGCCTGCCTTCTGGGTGTTCTCAGAGATGGGATCTTGAGCACTGTTTGTGCTGGCGTCTCTTACTCTTTGCAGAGTCTCTGATGTTGATACATGTTTTGGTGTCTTTATAGTGGCACTTAAAGTGTCATTAATAGCAATTCTGTTCACAGCAGGTTGCATATGGGAGGTGGTCATCCTCCAGCTGTCGTCTGTGGGGTCCTACCCTGATTTGCTCCAGGACAGAATTGCCTGCTGCCTCGCCTCAGAGGGCATCCTCAGCAGACTGACCTTCAGGCCTCTTCACTGCTGCCCAGTACCCAGTTGTGTGCTCTATTATATCTCTTCATCCTCTGTCCTCGTGAAGCTTGGTGATTGTGAGCCTTGAGCTGCCTTTCTGGGCAGATGGGGGTTCTGTGCTGAGGCTGACCTGGAATGGGTGTGCTGTCTGAGCAGTGCCTTCTTTTGAGGGGGCTGCAGGCTGATTCAGGTGACCCCTGCCCATGGCCTGGCTCATCTCTGGCTCCTTTTCCCACACTGCTGCTGGACACGGTTCCCCAGTGCATGATACTGTGTTCAGATGTGCTCCTTGGAGAGAAATGACGCTTCGTCCCTTTGCCCATAGGAAACACTGGGCTGGTTTTCACTGTGGCACTGGAAGAGTAGTGCGCACCAAGTGTGTCCTGCTGAGCTCTGAGTGCCAGCCAATTCTAACCATCTGGTTGATGGATTGATTCTCTGATACCTGGGGTCTTATAGTCTGTCATGCCAGCGCTTGGATCACTTATTTCCAGAGTCACACCTAAGAAATCATTGTTTTCCGGGGCTGGAGCGATAGCACAGCAGGTAGGGTGCTTGCCTTGCACGCGGCTGACCCGGGTTTGGTCCCTGGCATCCCATATGGTCCCCCAAGCACCGCCAGGAGTAATTCCTGAGTGCAAAGCCAGGAGTAACCCTTGAACATCACTGGGTGTGACCCAAAAAGAAAAAAAAACTCATTGTTTTCCTCCCGATTGTGGAAACTAACTTTCATGGTCTCATGTCACCTTTCCTTCTGTCTGAGACATGACCTGCATGTGTGAGGACAGGGGTGTGAGTGACAGTGTAAGCATGGAGTGTGTCACCCATCAAAGCCACTCTGCATATGGCTGCTCTGTGTGCTGACCATCAGGCTTAGGATTTGCTTCTGGAGGGAGTATGGAGGTTACTTGACTTGGGTATCGCCTGTCCAGCAGTGCTTCTGCCTGAACCAGGCTCTCTCTGCAGGCTGTTCTGTGCCTGGTGGACAGATGTGCCAACTCCTGCATGTGTAGGATAATGCCAGGTTTGGGTAACTCCCAGAGGTGGCAGGGACGATGCCATTGTTTATTTAAAAAAATTAAAAAAAATTTTTTTGTTTTGGGGTCATGCCCAGTGGGTACTTGGGGCTTATTCCTGGCTTTGTGCTCAGGAATCACTCCTGGTGGTGCTTGGGGGCCAATATGGGATGCCAGGGATTAAACCTGGGTCAGCCACGTGCAAGGCAACTACTGCTGTACTCAGGGGACTGATGAACTTGGGTCAGCGCATGTCAGATGCTGTGCCTTCGCCCATGTACTCTCTTCTGCCCATCCTTGTTAAGTTTTATTTTTTGTTTTGGTTTGGTGCTGGGAGTTGGGTAGTGTCAGAATCAAACCTGGAACTCTCTTATGCAAAGTATGTGCTCTGCTGAGCCATCTCTGGCCAGGTGTTTTTTTTTTTTAATTTTTAATTTGTTTTTTATTTATTGAGTCACTGTGAGAACAGTTACAAAGCTTTCCAGTTTAAGTCTGGTCATACAATGATCAGACACGATCCCTTCACCAGTGCACATTTTCCACCACCAAGAACCTTAGTGTACCCCCATCCCACCCCTCCCCCTGCCTGTGTGGCAGAAGATTTCCACTTTACTCTCTCTCCACTTATAAGACATCATTAGATAATTTGTTTCCTATTGCTGATTATAAAGAGCATATGATGTTGTGTGGCTGATTTTGGATTTCTGATATTTTAGTAATAAGTCTGGAGGGATTTCTGCCAAAAGCCGCTGGGTTCCGAGATTGGTTTGTGTGCCTCTGGGATCATGACCGTTCAGGAGCCGGAGGAGCAATTTGTGGGCAGCAACTCGGGGCCTCATCAGGGTGGGGAGGGGGGCCAGTTCCACCCCCCATCCCATGAGGCCCCGTGTGCCTTGTCACTGCAGTCTCGTACCTGGCTGTCCATGGCCAGGTTTTTTGGTTGAAGTCTTGACATTTTGACTAGCCCCATGTGGTAACTCTGGAAATTAGGTTCCACCCTCCTGGGGGTGTTGCTCTCCCTGATTCAGGGACTTCTGCAAGGTCTGGGTTCCTTGCAGATTGGTTGTTAAGAGTCTGTATCCTGTTGTGTCAGCATCAGCAGTGACAGCAGTGACCTCCCCCTGCAGACTGGGAACAGTGTTCTGAAGCATCACCCCAGTCACAGCTAAAGGTTTCTGGTTAGATCACTGTCTTATGGAGCTGCCTCTCTGCCTGATCTGGGACATCATCCATGGCTGGCACTCAAGCTACAGCTGAGAAGAAGCTGAACCAAGACAGGATGAAGTGTGTAGGGACTTTGTTAGGGAGCTGATTGGGGTGAGGGGCCTGGCATCAACAAGACCTGAGGGACTCCTTGCACCAGAGTCAGCTCAGAGATCCTCTTTCTAGGGAGCTGCCGCAGGTGCTCTTGGTGCATTGTGGCTGGGGCAGGGGCAGAGGCAGCCCACACCAGAATTGGTGTGTTTTTGCCTCTGGATAGACCAAGGAAGGAGTGAAGCTGCTGGTCACCCACAGTTTTTGGTGGAACGTGTGAGAACTTCTTCAGTCAGATGGACAGTGGGCATTGCTTTTGCCCTGCCCTGCTGGCTGCTTGCCCTCAGGAGCAGTAGGGACAGGCTGCCTCCTGCAGTACTCTGATACGGGAGGGCTGGGTTCCCTGCTTCTTTGACTTGTCGTTTGGATGATGTCCGATGCCTTGGGAAACTCTAAGACAGTGTTCTCAGACTTGGGACCTCTGACTCTCCTTCTGACTGTGTTCAGTTGGTCAGGCACGACCAGAGCTTATCTGTGGGTTGTGGGGTTCTGGCAGAGTCTGGAATGTAGGCTTCTGGACCTGACAGGAAAGCAGAGGTCACCGTGTTGGTGTTTGTCCAGGCTTGTGAGCTTATAGAACCTGCAGAGCCAGCTCCCCTCTGAGTCTCATCCAATCCGTGTCAAGTTTTTTTTTTCTCTTGGTAGGGGAGCTTTTTGGCTCACACCTGGTAATGCTCAGGTGTTACTCCTAGCTCTGCACTCAGGAGTTACTCCTGGTGGTGCTGGGGGACCATATGGGATGATGGGGATCCAACCCACGTCAGCCACCTGCAAGGCAAACACCCGACCCACTGTACCCACTCCTGCCCCCCAACCCGTGTCCAGTTGGTCAGAGCTATGTGGGATTACACCTTAGATTGGGTTCTGCAGGTGCTCAAGTGGCACCTTGGTGCTTTTAGGGTCATTGGTAATAGCAACCTTATGTACTCCTTAAAAACTGACCAGCTGTGTTTTCCTTTCATGACTTGGAATTGGTGGTGTTACACACATTGAACCTGGTGGCAGAGTGATACTTGATTTCCTGAATCCTGTCATTCTAAAATGAAAGATGCATCTCTCCTTTGGTCTGTCCAATAATCCTGGCACTCTAACTTCAGACCTCCCAATCCCAGTTAGGAATTCCTTCATGATGAACAGGAAGGTCATCTTAACTATGTCAGAGAAATTTTCTGAGTGTGATGCTCGTCTTGTCTCAGACAAGAGCATGTCTGTGACTAAAAATCCATTCATTATCTCACAGACTTGAGGTATTTAAGCTTCTCAGGTTGAGAGTCCAGAGTCTCCAATCAGAAGGATAGAAAGTAGCATTCTGCAGGAAATCAATGATTCACAGTAGAACTTGTGCCAGCATGGAGAGCAGTGCATGTACCTCACCAATGCAAGGTCTGCCAAGCCTGAATTTTTATTCTCCTTAAAATTTGATTTTTCACCCTTACATACTAAAAAGCTCTGCTTACGCCCAAGTCAGATGGGGCTTCAGGGTTGTTCCTTGAACTCTGGTTACCTTCAGGGAGCTTGTATGGGGGGGTGCCAGTGAGGAGTAAGCATCTCCTGCCGATAGGGCCCCTCTTACTGGCTCCTGCAGCCTGTCCTCAGTCCTGGGGTGGTGGTCCATGGCAGACACCCTGGGTGATGCTGGAGGGATGATGCCTTCCTTGTTGGTAAGTGGGAGAAAAGGTGGCCGTGAAAGGGCTACGAGCAGGAACGGGATACCTTCAGCATCTGGATGGGCTCTGGGAACAAGCTCTTCCTCCCCAATAAGAGGTGAGTCACTCAGCACTGTTCTAGCTTTGTGCATTACATGGTCCACTCTCAGTGCCTGTGCACGCACATGTGTGCAGTCACACACTGCACTTGCATCGTACACACTCACCTTTGTGCACAAACATGTGCCTTGCTGCACATGTATCTGATATGCACCTGCACACAGGTGTCCACATGCATACACACGTGCACTCACACTGGCATATGCATACATATGTATTCATTTACTGTGCACTCATGCATTCACATACATTCATGTGCACACACCATCTGCATGAACACACATTTCCACATGCACATACATACACATGCACTCCATACTGGTATTTGCATACATGTGCACTCACACCTAAATATTTATATACATTGTACTCATATTCAAACACACACACCATCTGTATGTACACATGTGTCTAGATGCACACACACATGTGCACTCACACTGGTGTATGCATATATGTACACTCATTCCAGCATATTCATGCAGGTACATTCACATATTCAGGTGCACACACCATCTGCATGTATATACCTGTGCTCGTGCACACACACATACACTCATGCTGGCGTATGTGTACATATGTACTCACACCTGTGTGTTCATATACTGTGCACTCACATTCACACACACCTGCACACGTGTGCATTCACACCCCCACATAGACACTCACACTAGCTCAGGTTGTCTCAGTACTAAACTTTTTTCATCCAGTTAGCAAAATACCCTAGAGTAAGAATAACACAGTTAATATTTATTTGCATTTTACATATCTCTAAGGTTCACCTAGAAGTTTATTGGAAAATTAGCAATATATTACATCATTTTAGGAAGTGGAAAATGAGGCTGGGTGAGTCAGGAAATTCACCGTAACATTATAAAGAAAACATGTTGACAATTCCTTCACCAGTAATAACCCTTTCCCTAATGAAAATAAATTATATGTATAAATAGCCTCTTGATGTTTGTGCATTATTCAGTCATAATATCACAACATTTCTGCAGCATTTTATTGCTGGTACTAAAAATGTCTTTTCCTGCCTTTATTTCACATAGTGTGACTTCAGAACACACAGCTGGACTGAAATAGGAGAGAGGTCGAAACTTACAGTGCTAAGCTATTTATAAGAAAGTATTTGTAGGTGTCCTGTAATATGGCCGACACCTAAACATTATCATTGAGTCCTGCACATCTTGCTTGACAGTTTACAAAAATAAAAGCCAGTGCTTGGAGTGTGAGACATTCAGTTATTGTTTGGACCCAGGTGGGAAGCACCTCTGGGTATACAGGCTTGCAATTTATAGAAACGGCAAGCTAAAGCTGTTTTCTGACATGAGAAAGGAAACTGCATTGTAGAGACCAACAGGAGCTTGAGCTGGTGTCTGGCTTTGCCGCTGGGAGCTGTGAAGCACCCTAGGCACCCTAGGACAGTCGCGTTCTTTTCCTCAATGTGAACACCCGGGTTGTGCTGGTTGGCTTTGGCTTCTTGCTTCCTTGCTGGGACTTTCCTGCTTCCCTTGGACTTGTCCTCTTTTGTCCTTTGGGTCTGAGGTCAGCTGGAGCCTCCTGGCTTTCCTTAGGGCTGATGCTATGGGGGTGCTCATCGCGGGCTGTGGGCTCACCCTCGCCTGGCCGCACATTCCCGGGGCTGTAGGCCGCCAGCTGGCAGAGGGCCACAGCTGCCGTCTGCTTCTGCTCTTCGCTGCTGTCAACTGCAGGGGTGTCCCTGGCCTTCCCATTGGGGGTGACAGAGGGGGCTGTGTCTCTGTCAGCACCGGTAGGACTGCTCTCGGTATATTCCTGCCCATCTCCAGAACCTTCTGTTTCTGTCTCTGGAGCAGCAGCAGCAGGGTCTGTCTCTGATCGGGGACTGTGGAAGGGCGGTCGCTGGGTGCGAGTATTGCAGGCATCCCTCACTGACAGATTGAGAGGCACGTCCTGTGGCTCGCGGAGGCTGCTGCAGCTTTGGCCGTGTGCGGAAGGGGGGCTCTGCTCTGCTCTCTTGCATAGGTTCAGTGGGGCGATCCCGGAGCTTTCCTCAGGGCTCGATGGGGCGGGCTCCATGTCTGGAGTGTGTCTTCCTGACTGCGTCCACAGGTCCTCCGGTGCACCGTTGAGGCTAGAGGAGACAGAGAGAGGCAGCATGAGTGATAGATTCTGCTGGGACCAGCTCTGCGTGGAGGTTTGAATGGGAAGATTTTTTTTTTTTTGGTTTTGGTTTTGTTTTTTGGGTCACACCGGGTGATGCTCAGGGCTAACTCCTGGTTCTGGGCTCAGGAATCACTGGTGGGGCTTATTGGACCATATGGGGTGTCAGGAATGGAACTCTGGTTGGCTGGGCACAAGGCAAGCTCCCTTCCTGCTTGCTGTTTATTCTGTCCATCCTGAAAGGACCATCCTTACCTGTGGGGAGAGTCGGCTGCATTGTCCAGAGCTTGAGGGTGTGGTAGGCTGGGGCTGTGCCTGATGGGCTGGGAGGTTGTGGGGCTCTCTTCAGGCGGGTGGGATCTTCCTGGAACGCTGGGGGGGCTGTGGTTTGAGGCACCTGACTGGCCTGTCTGTGTGAAGTTGGTGGGGCTGGGCCTTCCTGGGGAACCGGTGGCCGCGCTGCCTGCGCGGGGGCTCATCTTGGCCCCTTCTGTGTCCCTTTGCCCCTCCTTAGAAGACTCTTTGGCCTCAGGAGTTGGACTTTCTTTCTCGAACTCTGTGTTTTTTTTGTGGGAGTGGGAGGCATGGATCTTGGGCGGGCTGGAGGCTGGGTAGAGCAGGGCAGCCTCCTCCAGAAGGTGTGGGCCTGGGTCTCGGGTCACACCAGGGAGTGGTGGCAACCGGAGACCGTAGGACAGAGCTGGCTCAGGCCTGTAGAAGCCATACGGGAGCGACAGGCTGGAGTGGTACTGCTGGAGGAACCGGTAGTGGTCGTATGCAGAGGGCAGCGGCCCGGGTGGGGTCAGGAGGTGTCTGTGGTCCTGCGCCCCGTAGACAGGCAGCAGGGGGCTTTCACACTCAGGTGCGCTCCCTGTGAGCAGGTAGGGTGAATAGATGGTGGCCAGGCCATGCTCTGTGTAGAAGTGTGGCGGATACTCGGGGATGGTGGGGTGCAGGAACGGAGGCATGGCGCCGAGCCCCTTGGTTGAAGGCACTTTGTGCGGGAAGTCAGGGGGCAGGAAGGGTGCACCAGCCTTCCAAGGGTAGCCAGGCGCGTGGAAGGCTGACTTGGTGTGGAAGGGGGAGGTCTTGGCAGGGGGGCTGGGCAGGGCCGGTGTCTCAGTGGCCTCGGTGCGCTCAGGCCCTTTGAGCCTGTGTTCTCCCACGGGCACAAAGGCAGAGGGACGTGCTGTGCCGTCTAGGAGGGGTGGTGCGCTCACAGCAGCATCGGGGGCAGGGCTCTGGGGTGCTGCCTCCCTGTGGGGGGCAGACTTGGGTCCAGGGCCCTTGTGGGGTCCGCGCACACGCAGCTCCAGGTTCTCCTTGGTGTCATCTGGGGTCAGGCCGTGAAGCCTGGGCTCAAAGGGTGGCAGGCTGTGGTGCAGGGGCTTGGGGGGTGTGGGCTTGGCCGTGGGTTCGGTGAGGTGGGCTTGCTTGGGGTCCAGGGAGCCTGCCTTGGGGCACTTGGGGCTGCGGTCCTGCTCGGACACCAGGGTGATGGAGTTCTTGCAGAGGCCATACTTCATGTGGTTGAAGAGATGCGACTTCTCATTGCAGGTGAAGGGGCACTGGAAGCACTTGTACTTGAAGGGTTTCCCGGGGGGCCGTGGGATGTAGTGCGGCTTCTTAGGCTTCCGCTCTTTGAGGAGACTCATGCTCGTGGCGCGATGGGGCGCTGCCACTCGCCCTCCTCCGCTGTCCTGACCAGGTGCTGTGCTGGTGTGCTCCTTGCGGGCAGAGGGTCTTCAGGAAGCGGAGCTGCGATGGGGGACAGAGCTTAGTTTCAGGATCCTGCAACGTTACCACCAGGAGAGGGACTTGGTCTTCCTCCACCCCCTCCCCAACCCCCTGATGAGCCTTCCCGACCCCCTCACCCCTGTCCTGCCTGTCTCGGCTAGATGTGGAACATCTCTTAGTTGCAGAGACCTGTGGCTCTGGGTTTGGGGGAGTCTTATCTCCAGCATGTGGAAGAAGCCACAGAGCTTGTGGATGGTTGGGACCCGCACTAGGGAGTATTTCTGTGCACAGGGCTGACCTCACCGACTGGAGCAGGTAGGTGTCCCCATGTGATTACTTAGACCCCTCTGGCCTCTGTCCGTCCAGGCACCTCATGGGTGTGTTCTGCGTGAGGGTGTTTGGGACTGAGGAACAGCAGACAGTTTGCACTCTGTCACTTGTGTGGCTGCTGAGAATCTGTGTCTGCTTCTGGTTGTGGTGTGGTTCTGGGTGGCCCATGTGTAGGGAGCTGAGTGCCCACCACCATCTCAGGGTCAGGAGAGAGCAGTGGCAACAGCTATGCTTCTGAGTGACACAGTCTGAGCTTTGCATGGCCTAATCCCGGGGAGACGGAGAGCCAGGCCTCCAGCACAGAGGAAGATTCCCTCAGGGCTGGGGCAGGCAGGCAGCAGTCAGTTCCGACAGTGTCAGCCTCTGCCTCCCCTCCCTCTTGGGCCCCTCCACTCCCTCAAAACAGGAAGCTGAATTTCTCTAAGCCTTTCTCCTAACTGGGTGGGGTGAGCACACACTGGGAGTGACCCATGGTAGTTCTCAAACAAGGGTGCTAGGGCTGTCTCTTCTCACAGACAAACCTTAAATTCCGAGAACACCATGTGGCTTTCTCCTTGGGGTACTGGCCCGTCTTGGTTTATCTCTAGTTTTTAAGACCACAGACTCCCCTGCTTCACCTGACTTTTCACGTCTGTTCACTTAGGGTGTGTCTGTACAAGACTGCTGGTGCTTTTTGTTTATTTTTTGTTTTCTTGGCCACACCTGGCAGTGCTCACGGCTTATTCCTGGTTCTGCACTCAGTGGTCACCCCTGACCATATGGAGTGCTGGGGATTGAACCCATGTGCAAGACAAGTGCTCCACCCATGGTGCTGTCTCCAGCCCCAACTGCTTGGTGCTTTAGATGCAGCTTAGGGCACCCACCTCTGGGCTGAGGAGTTAGTAGAGTGGCGGAGGTTTTTAAGGTGTGCTGATGGTGCTGGGTCCCCCTTTTCCTCCCCATGCACACAGTGGCAGGGGGCTGCATAGAAGTTGGGGTCCTAGCCACATACATCACACATGTAGGTCTGGCTTTGTACCTCTCTTTTGGTAAAGGAGAAACTGTGAAATGATTCCTGAAGATGTTAGTTCATCCCATGGGCATCTGAGTCGCCCAGGGCTCTGAAAGCCCAGGTTCCTAGCCTTCTCCAGGAAGCAATTCTAGCCAGAGCCCCAGCCAGAGAGATAAGTCAGCTCGGGCCTGTACGGGCATGCAGCATTGTGCTCCGATTCTGAAGGCGTGAGAACCGGTGTGAGCCAGGTTCCCATGATTGTATAGGATCTGTCACGGCAAAGATCTGAAAACTGATGATTTCATCACCAGCTGCGTGCGTCCCGGCAAAATGATGACAGTTGCAAAACGCTGCCCCAGTGTGTGCCCAGCACCCCGGCTCTAAGAGATGCACCCGGCACTGTGACTTTAGGGGGCGAGGGGGACAATGTTCAGTGTTGCCAGCCTTTTTGACAAAAATAAAACAGCTCTAAGTGGGCAGCTAAAGCCACATCTTTGGCAAACAATACGGTAAGGTGAGTTTCGTTAGCCAACTGTCCAGTTAGGGTATTTTTGAGATTTCAAAAAAGAACCAGCTCTACAGTATCTTAAAGCTTCCCTGCTCATTCACGTCTACCACGAAGTTTCACTTATGAGCGTTCTGTGCACATAGGAACAGAACTAAACTCTGACTGCCGTGTCTTTCTGGGTCCTGTCAAAGGCTCGGTTGAGTCTTGGGTTGTGTGGAAGTTCCCATCCGTGACCCAGAGGATCCTGATTAGTTCCCAGATCATTCCCAAAGGACAGGGACCAGTCGTGCTGCCTCGAGTCCTGATCGGACAGGGGCAGGGTCCAGGGTGGCTTCTCAGGAGGTGAGAGTGCCGTGGGGTGCATGGCAGGACAGCAGGTGCCACACCTTCGACAGGTGAACTGACCTCGCAGGCTTGCACAACAGCTCGTTAGAGCTGCCTCGCGGCCCACAGAGACGAGCCTCATCCCTCGGTTGTAAATCTGATCATGGTGGGGAAATCAGTGGGGAAAGATTGAGGCTTCTGTAAACTCCCGAGGACACAGTCCCTTCACGGGTAGGGCTGGCCCTTGTCTGTGGGGACAGGCCAGTCACTTTAGATCCAGCTGCCCCTGGCAGCAGCTGGTGGTGTGTGTGGTAGAAGGCTTGTTGCCATGTACCACTGTTGGGAGTGGGGGTCGGGGGGCGGGAATGTGGACTTGTGTTTGTGGTGGCGGCCGAAAGGGGTGGCACTGGCTTTCTGGCTGGCTTGCCCTGCAGGGCTGTAGTTCAGCTATAAGCTTGCAACCACCACCCTGCCTCAGTGGGCCTCCCCACAGTCCCCTTCAGCTCTGTCTAGCACCTTGTCTCAGAGGGTCTCCTGACAGTCCCCTCCTGCCCCATCCAGTACCTTGCCTCGGTGGGTCTCCCCACAGTCCCCTCCAGCCCTGTTCAACCCCCCTGCCTCAGAGGGTCTCCACACAGTCCCCTCCAGCCCTGCCCCGTCGGTTTGTCAGCTTCCCCAGCAGTGCCCAGGGGCTGTGGCAGGCTGGGCAGTGTGGTCTGACAGGTGGGGCAACCTATGTTTGGGGCTGCTAGGCTGCTGGCTTGCCTGCCTCCTGGCTGCAAGCTGCCCACACAGCGCTTTGAACCAGCTGTGGTTTCGGCCGGCGGGAGGGATTGTTTGCTTGGTCTTTGGCCCTGGTTGCAGTGCACTGTCTCCTGGTATTTCCTTGAGTGCAGGGACCTTCGGGTCAGCACACAGAGTGCTGGGAGAGACTGGCGTGCTTTGAAAGTTTCTAGAGAGTCTGAACTCTGAGAAATAGATGGGAGAGTTTTTTTTCTGGATTTGGTAGGACACAATAAGGGGTAATTATAGCTTCAGTCTGTTGGCCGTCGCCCTGACAGGCCGGGTGAGTGCCTACCATGCACAGGGCGCGGGACTGGGCAGTTCTGTCATCCTTGTCCGGGTGGCAGTCCGCCTGGCAGGCCGCTCAGAGCGTTCTGAAGGGCATGCTATAATTACAATATTGTGATGTGGCGTTCTTGCATAACTTTAGGACACGCCATTGTCGCCTACCCACTGGAGTGTCGCAAGAACGAGATTTGTGAGTTTTACTCCAATTGAGCTTTTCCAGTGATTAGCCGCCCCTCCCTCCTAGACTTTCGGTTCTTTAAAATGAAGGCTGAACTTGAGTACAGCTGTGCCCCAGAGAGGGACAGTTTTCTGGAAAGATTGGAGACCTGCTGTGTCTCCTGCTTCAGGCAGATCCCAGCACTGAGAAGCTGAGCACACAGTGGTGATACTTTGTTGCCTGTCCCAGGAGCCATCAGCTTGCCTGCCTCCTGGTGCTAAAAACCAGCTTTAAACTTTAAACCAGCACTTTGTGAAAGCAGAGTGAAAATTCAGGTGGTGTGAAGTCTTGTTCAGATTAAATCTGACTTGGTCAAATTTAATTATTAATTTTGTTCAGTCATTGTTCTCATACAGACACTAAGGGAAATTTACAGAAGTTTACACACACACACATACACACACACACACACACACACACACACACACACAAAGCCTTTTTTGTACTACGTAGAGAGTCTTTGTTATTTTTGGGCAGGGGATAAGCTGATGTCAAAGTAGTACTAATCTGTAACTTCAAAAGCTATTAAAATTTAAAAAACAAGAGTTTCAGTCACGCATATACATATGTATATGTATGGTCTTTGGTGCTTTTCTGTTGAAATTCATTGCAGTTTACTTTTACGGTAAGGAACATAAACACTCATAGCAGCCTACATTTTGGTTTAAATGTTAAGGATTTTGTGGCAGAGCCTCTTTCCAAGCTGACCTGTCGGCACTGCTAGCATGAAGCGTGAGGCTCCCTGAGTGTTGTAATCCCGCGCTCTCTCCCCGATGCACCTGCTGCTGCCTGAGCAGGGCCCTGGCCGGCCGGTACTGCCAGGGCCAGGCCTTTCACACAACACTGACAGCACTTTGGAAAGCAAAGCCGAACTGGAGAAGGAAGGCAGGACTCACCAGGCCAGGCGGGCGCGGGGTCTCGGAGGTGCGGGCTGGCGGGCAGACGCTGGCTGAGGAGCTCGGAGCAGCTGGCAGGACTGTTCTCACGCTGGGCTGGCTGCTGAAACTGGAGCCGGCTCTCCCAGTGGGAGGGATTTAAGTGGAGGAGTCAAGCCCTCAGGGCGTAGAGATGCACCTGATATTCCTCCAGCCCGCAGCTACGATTCATGAGTTTGCACCCACCTTGGCTGCAGTAGCTCTGCACCCCCAGGGCCAGTTCCCTTGGGGGGGCGGCTACTTTAGGGCTGCCCCCAGGGAGGTTGGTGGGATGGAGAGGTGGGACTGTGTTCCACTGGCTGAGGAGCTCAGCAGGTGGGGGTGGGAGAGTACCCTGGTAAGAAGGACATGTGTGACACTGTCCCCTCGCTGCCGCTGTAGAGACTGGGGCCAGGGTCTGCCAGCCGTGTCCTGGCTGCCTCCCTCCTGTTCCCTGCACCCTCCGTGAGATCTTTGTCCGAATCGGGAGCAAGGAGGGGGGGAGGCGGCCTCAGCCATCCCGTGCAGGGACCTGCCGCAGCACGTCCTGGGATGGTGCTGCCGGGCCTCCTGCCGTGGGAAGTGGGCTCTGGTCCTGCACCCCTCTGTAGAGGAA